ATTTTTGATATAAAAGGTGGTTACAAACACAGACATGGACAGAGATGTGCACAAATACCTCTTATTGTGTCTGGTGAACTTGACCTTCTTCTCAAACAGTTAGATTCCAGGAAGCTAAATGAAGAGTCAGCAAAACTAGGCAGCTCTGCTCCAAAAAAGAAAATTTGTAATGGTTTAACAAGGTCCTTCACTTCTATTAAGTTGTCCATGGAAGTCTTTCTAAGAGAATTGGTCTTGGCTCACATTGGATTATATTAGATGCTGGCACCATTTAGTTGTTGGAGGAACTGAGGCTGGAATTTGAATTTGTGCATGAGAAACCAAAATAAGACTGGAAAGGTAAAAATGGATCAAGTTGTGGAACCACTTCAAATGCCAGAAAGAAGACTTTTTTTTTTTAGGCAATTGGGGTTAAGTGACTTGCCCAGGGTCACAAAGCTAGTAAGTGTCAAGTGTTTGGTCTGAGGCCGGATTTGAACTCAGGTCCTCTTGACATCAAGGTGGGTGCTCTATCCATTGCACCACCTAGCCACCCCGAAGACTGAAGATTTTGCATTTGTTCCTGTAAGAAATTGGGAGCCACTAGTTTATTGAGTGAGAGAATAAAATAGTCATATTTGTACTTTCTGAAAATCACTTTGGCAGCTGTGTAGAAATTGGACTGGAGAAAGGAATTCCTTAAGGCAGGCCAACCAATTAGGAAACTGTTGCAAGAGTCCAGGCCAAAAGTGATAAGGCTTTGAACTGTAGGGGAAACAAGAGGTTCTTCACCAGTAGTCTCCTACATTGATGGATTCTTAGACCTAGTCAAAAAGAAATCAAACTATAAAGACTTGTGCTGATTTTACAGGGAAATACATTCTCTAGAGTTGGAATTTAGAATTGAAGTTAGTTTTCTGAACTATCAAACAGGGCATTGTTGAGGAACACATAGGAAAAGTTGGCACTCACAATCATATGAACTCTTTACTTGACCAATGTGCTGTCCAGGAGTGGCCAAAGGCATGATTAACCCAGAAATGGAAAATCATGTGCTCAACTCAATGTAAAACAAATAGTCTAGGTCTTCACAGAATCTGTCAATTGAGAGTAGTGTCCTGGCCACTCTCCCTACTACCTCCCTCTTCCTTTCCTATTTTCTTCTTACCTTCCTCCATCTCCTCTCTTCGCAGGCTTCTTTTTTCTAAGTTTGATCGATTTCTTTGCACTGCTGTTTAATGAAAAATGGTCTCAACAAGTCTGCTTGGGCTGGGATGCTTTGAGGCTCAGGTCAGGGTGGTGGGAACCAGCATGAAAATCCTAGACAATAGTACTGAAGCTGTGGAAGGATAGGATCTTCATTCCAATGTGAAAAGGGCTGCCTTCATCCCTATGACACTGTTCCTTTCTGTTATGTTCCTTTGATTTTCCATTTGAGGGCTCTACACCTGAATGAAAAGTGCTATTGATGGGGATGGGATCTGGGCCCCAGAAAGGAAAAATCCTCGATTTTCCACTTGGTCAAATCTCTGGCATTCCCTTGAGGCTATAATCTCATCAACTGGCCTTTCATTGTGGCTTCACCCATTGTCTTACCTCCCTATGACCCCTGGTCATTTCCCACACTTAATCCTAACTAGGCTCCATTGTCCAGGTCCCAGGAGTTCTGTTCACCCCAGTTTACTGGCCACTTCCATCCATATCTTTTTAGGCCCTCCTCCCATCATCCCAAACTACTTGGCCACTCCTAGATCCCTCCCACAGGCTTTCTGTATATAAGTTCCATCCTGTCTCCATTAAGATGTACAGATTTTCACAATCTAGCCAATAGCCCACAGATACCTCAGATTCCTTAAGAGTCTAGCTAATATGGCAAATCTTCAATAAACCTTATTTTTGGCTGAAAGAAGACTTGGGTCAAATCCTTTTGGGCAGGACCCGACTGTCGTGATTTTGGGATTCCAGGACCCCTAACCTCTAGACCTCATCACTATTGCTTCAAAATAAAATATTATTTTATTTGGAAATTACTACAGATGATTGCATTGTCGCATTGTTTGTTTTTCATTTCCAAAGAGGACCAATGACATCATGGGGTGATGCCACATGACTTGTGTGTGAATTGAAGTAAGGCAGAGTTGCATAATGATTATATTGACTAATGATCCTAGGGCTGGCACTGGCCCTTACTAGCTTAGATGAACTAATCAAATTTCCCAAAGAATTAGTGAATATTTCATCAACTTTTCATTAGCTAGATACACCCAAGGAGTGACTTAGACAATTACAATTTCAACCCAATGAGCTTCAAGGAGTATAACCTCCTGTATAGAGGAGTAGAACATGGGAACCCAGCTGAAGAACCCACCCAGCATTGATACTGAGGGGAACACTTTAACAACAGTGGGAGTGGAGCAGCTAGATGGTGCAGTGGATAGAGCACCGGTCCGGGAATCAGGAGGACCTGAATTCAAATCCGGCCTTAGACACATATGCTTACTAGCTGTGTGACTCTGGGCAAATTACTTAATCCCAACTGCCTAACCAAAAAACTCCAGGAGGAGAAAAAGGGCATTATAGCCTCTAGTACCATAGACACAAATTGCCTTAGCTACATATGTTCTCTGTGAGCATACCTTACCACCCTCGTCCCCTTAAGTTTGTGCTCACTCTACCCATGGGCACTCTGTATATTTGTGAGAGAATCTGTCCTTGCTTTACGGGGGAAGTCATTTGTAGCTACTCTTCTTAGTATGATATCTTAGTAATTGCCACTGCTTTGAGCTAATTCTTTTAGCAGGCAGACTGTTAATAATAGGAAGCCCATCAGTAGGGGCTCACAGGCTACATAGTTTTAGGAGTACAAATGTACACGGTACATGTGAACTTGGAAGTAGCAGCCATCCTCTGGAGACCCAATCTAATAAATGTGAGTACAAGTTCTAAGAGTAACCCAGAATGAGAATTACACTTGGTTCTAGAGGCTGAAACATGTTTCCGTCTTATCAGTAGAGAGTTGGGGGTAAGGGGGAGGTATGAATATAGGTATGATTGTTGTTCATTTTACATAACTGTTTTCCTTTGGGGGAAGGGGGTAAAGATTCTAGTTTTTGAGAAGGGGAGTTATTGTGAAGAGTAATATTTAAAAAACCCCGAAGAACATTACTAAATCACTTTAGAAATCATAACTAGCAAAGATGCTTGAAGACTTTTAATAATCTGCATGCCTACTGGTGAATTGACATTATCAAATATCAATCAGTAACCAAAAATAATAGGGGTGTCTTTCTTTATATGCCTAAACAAAATATTTATACTATTTGGGAAAGTTTCTTGATACAGGAGGTGAGGCATCCTTCTGTAAAGAATATGAAATAAAATAAATGAAACTCAGTTGATATTTATCTCCCCCCCAAAAAAAACCCCCAACACAATTATAGAGGATCTCCAGAAAGTTTAATCAAGGAAGACAAGTAAGCAGAAACAATGCAATAATTTTTGTTATAACACAAAGGAGCACATTTTTTTCACAACAGATAGTAGGATAGAATCTAACACATGTAAAGGCACCCAGTTAATAACTTAAGAAGCAAATGCTGATGTCAGTATTAGACTGTCATGATGGTAACAGTTCTCCAGCAGTAGAAATGCCCCGGGTCATCATATAACAAACGTGGCTCACATTAATCTTAAGAGGTAGACAAGTATAAAGCATGTTCTTTCATTAGCAGCTAAGTGACATCACCAAGGTCATACAGAATGTAGCTGACTATATATGTATATTTATACACATCATCTTGTATACCTGTAAGGGAGATATTCAGGCATAGGTATGCCTAAGAGGATATGCACAGCCTGCTACATAGATTACCAATGGTTCTTCTCTTCCCCTTGCTTACACTCTTCTGAGCACCTCTTTGACTACATGCCCACTTCTCAGGTGAGGAAACTAAGATTCCTAGAGGCTAAGCAAGTGTTGCAGATGGGTTGAAACCCAGTCTTTCTGACTTCAGGTCCAGTATCTATCCAAAGCCCACTTGAACTTTTTCCATGGTTTCTCCACTGCAGCAAGCAGCATAAATATTTATGTGGGACTTGGAGCCAGGAAGACCTGAGTTCAAATCCTGCCTTAGACATTTATTAGTCGTGTGACCCTGGGTTGATCATTTGTGTCTCAGTTTACTGATCTGTAAAATGGAGATCATAATAGCACTCACTTCAGGGATATTGGAGAATCAGATAAATTGAGAATCAAATGAGTTGGCATGTAAAATGCTTTGCAAACCTTGACTCACTAAAAAAACACTAGCTATCACTAGTTAATCTTTTGAATCATGCTTAGGTTGCCCTCAGCTAAATAAAGCCTTTTGTGTTTTCAGGATGAGTCAAGACAGATGACGTCAGCCTACTGATTCCAATGGATAGCATAGATTATGGCCATCACTTCAGCTTTGCCTTAAATACACCAAAATTAAAAAGGAAGGAAAATTCTCCAGGATTTTATCACATGCATTATTCAGTTTCTTAGTGTCTGCCTTTATCTCAAGTCCACTTCCAAGAATATAATATAATTCATTGATCCTCCTAATGTGGTTAATGGAATGTTTCCCTTTTCTAGAAATGGATAGGTCAGAATTATGGCCTTAGCTTCCCATGTGACATGGTCACTTGAACCCTCTGTCCAAATATGGGGGGTCAATAGTAAGATGGTTGATTTCCATTTCCAAGACAGTACCATATTTACATACCTGACATGAATATTCATATAACATACAGAATTGTAAAATAAATATCAAGGTGATTTCAATTAAACTAGATACAAAAATAAAAAAGTCAACATCCTGCTCATTTATAAAATTATAAGAAAGATTAATAACATTTTTTCCTTACAAATAATAGTAGCTCACATTTCTCCAGCACTCTAAGGTTTTTCAAAGAAAGCATTCTCCTCACAGCAGCCCTGTGAGGTGGGTAGTGTTGTATTATTTTCCCCATTTTACAGATGAGGAAACTGGTAGCTCTGAGTAAGTGACCTTCCCAGGTTCACACAGTTAGAAACAAGTAGAACTAGAATTTGAACCCATGACTTCTGATTTGAAAACTAGCACTTTGCCCAAAACACCAAGATGCCTTTTTAAAGCATCAGTACTAGAATTCCATAAGTATCTGAAACATATGCATATTAAATAGTTTAAAACAGTCAGATGCAAAAATAGGCATGTACGTTTATGGTATGGGTCCCAATAGACTGTAACTCCTTGAGAGTAGAGACAGCTTTGTTTCTTTTCTTTGCACTCCTAGTACCTAGAACAGAGCCAGGTTCATAGTAGGCACTTGATAAATGCATATTCAATGAATGTGTGAATATACATATTCTTGGCTGAAAATAACCCTTTTTCTTTCTAAAAAATTTTGAGCTGGAAACATTTCAACATAATATTACAATATACTATTACTCAAATATCAGGGACAAGAAGCAACTGGGAAATTCCTTTCTTATTTTAAAACTTTTAAAAGACATCGAAATATTTCTCTTTTTTTTTCTTAACTCTTCCTGAAATTTCCTTGGTAGAACTCCAGGTGATACAATTCTCTTTATCAAGGTAGGTTGGAACCTATTCTGCAATTCATAGGCTTAGCTAGTTGCCCAAGGCACTGAGCGCTTCAGTGACTTACTAACCCAAGGCTCACAAAGTCAGGATTTCTCAGAAAGGCAAGGCTTGAACCCAAGCCTTCCTTACTCCCAGGCTAGCTCTCTATTCACTAAGCCAGGCGTATCCCACGCCTGGCGGCGGCAGAGAGTCAAGGACATAACCGCCAAGTTCTGCCAGCCAGATTAAAGACGTAATTGGGAAATGTTTAAAAAAAATAAATAAAAATACAACACAGATAATAAAATCTGTTGTTTTCTAAGTCAATAAGCAGCTCTATGTGCATTTGAGACAAAGCCAAGCCGTCTTTCAAATATTTAGTTACAACAATGAAAAAAAGGTGGTCACCTACACATTTCTCAAATAGAATATGCTGTAGGTTTGGGGCTGGGGGGGGCGGGGAGGGCCGGAGAGAAGAAGAATTTACAATGTAAATGTAATGTAAATTGACAATTTACAATGAAATCCTGATACCAGATAGTTAGACTGGAAAGAAGATAAAATAAATAATGCATTAACTTCGAGCTTTTTGTATCTAAGGAGCTGAAGGACATCATTCAAGAAAAATTTCAATTTTTGTGCAGCGATTAAATTATTAAACTGAATGAATAATTAGGCAAGAAAAGAAAAAAACATTTTCTAGTCATTGAAACGTTGGTCTTCATTTTAGTGACTTTAAATTAGGCTTTGCGGTGGATGTGATGGAATGATCTGATTTCTAGATGATCCACTACGGACTATAGTGTAATACTATGATCTGATTTCTAGGTCATCTGTTTTGGATTGTAGATGTGATGGAATGATCTGATTTCTAGGTGATCCACTATGGATTACAGATGTGATGGAATGATCTGATTTCTAGGCGATCCACTTTGAATTACAGACATTTTCTTGGGATGTGAAACCCAGAATAAAAGGTACAGTATATGGTTTTGTTAGTTTGTTTTTCACAGCAGATTGTGGGGAGGGGGAGTTGTCAGCACCAGGACCAAGGAAAGCAGAGTCTTCCATCTTCCATCCAACAGGAAGAATCAATGCTAGGATGAGACTTGATCAGAACCCAGAAATGCAGCCAAGTTAGAAGTCAAAATGGATCCGGAAAAACAGGAAGGTCAACAGAAAACATATAGGGATAGGAATGGGGACAAGTCATATGATTTCATTGGCATGAGGAACTCTCAAGTGTGGAAACTCCATTTTCCATTGCCAGTCATCACCTTCTCTGCCCCTTATAGTCTTAGAGCATAACCTGAAGTGCTAAGAGGTTCGGTGACCAGCCAGCAGAGTGTACAAAAATACAGAGTATTCTAAAATAAAATCTAAATTCAATGCAATCATCTTAGAAAAAAATATATAAAATGTCAAGGCATTCAAGTTCATATTGTATAAGAGCTGCTTCAGAAATGTGCCCCGTGGGTCTTTCCTTCGCCTTCCGTGAAGTTCATTTCAATGTGGTTGAAGGCAGGGTTAAAAGTGCCGCCATCTTCTGTTGCATAAGGTTGGTGGTTTAAAATTAGTTTCTCCTAGAAAGAAAAGTTAACTGGTTACATCAATACTTTGAAGATGGGTAGCTTCATCTTCCAAGGTTCTCCCTCCACTGAGTTGGAATCACACCCTGTCTTACTAGGTATCTCCAAGAGTTGTTGTAGCTGACCAACATCTCCCCCTAGTGGTCAGCCTTTTGGTGATGAATCTCTCAGCTGCCCAGCTCAAAGCCTTTTGAACTAGGGAAGAGCCTGCTAGACCTTGGGTTCCATTAGCAGAGCCTTCGAGGCCCCAGTATCAACTCCCTGCCATCATGAAGCAAGAAAACTGAATTTTAATTAAGGAATGACGGTAGGATGGGCCATGTACACACACAATTGCAAATTATTGATGCTTTTAAAAAATTTCTTTTTAAATTCTTAGGTAACACAGTGGATTGAATGCTAGCCCTGGAGTTGGGAAGATTTGAGTTCATATCTAGCCTCAGACACTTCCTAGCTGTGTGACCCTGGGCAAGAATTTAACTCTTTTCTGCCTCAGTTTCTTCATCTATAAAATGGGGGTAATAATATACACATCTCTCAGGGTAGTTGTTTTTCCAATAAATAAAATGAGATAAATTATAAAAATAAATAAAATGAGATATTTTTAAAGTACTTTGTAAACCTTAGAAGGCTACATAAATTCTAGTTACTATTATTATTGGCTTCCTATTCGAATGAGGGAGTAATACAGAACAAACACATATCATTAAACTTCACAAGTTCAAAAAAGATTTTTATCAATGGATAATTCCTCTACATATAACCCCTCCTCAAACATATGTATGCACACACATGTGCATATGTATAAGTATATACATACATACACTGTGTGTTTATATATTCACATATTTGTATTTGTCCATATATATGAGTGTATTTATGTTGGAGAAGGGTTTATAAGTGGCAATATGCACTGATAAAAATCACTTTTGGAGGAAAAGGTCCTGTATGTACAGAAATATTTATAGCAACTCTTTTTGTGTTGTCAAAATCAGAAACCCATCAATTAGGGAATGGCTCAACAGATTATGGTACATGAATGTAACAGAATGCTATTGTACTCTAAGAAATGAAGAAAGAGATATTTCAGAGAAACCCAAGAAGACTCGTGTAGACTGATCGCAAAATGAAGTGAACATAACCGGGAGGACAATTTATACAAGAACACTAACATTGCAAAACCCGATGATTTAAATATATGTGTGCATGTATATGTACACACACATTTATACACACAGAGACAGGTACACATATCTATACCATATATGTTATATTATATTGTGTTATATTACCTTATATGACAGACACACACATACATAAATCTACCAGGTGTCCCAAAAGTCATAGTGCAATGTTAAGCTTTAATTAACTTTAACAAGCTTAAAACTGCACTTAGACTTTTGTGATATACTGTATATGGGAAGAGACAGACACGGAAACAGAGAGAAAGAAAGACAGAGAGACAGAGAGAGAGAATCTGCATTTGTGATTTCATAATTTCATTCGTATGGGGAACAACTCTCATTGTAGACCTATAACCACTCTGCAACCCAAGCTTTGGGGAGTTGCCTGGGCACTGAGAAGCTAAGTATCTGGCTCAAAATCACACAGCCGGTAGCATCAGAGGCAGAATTTAAATCCAGGTCTTCCTGGCTAACTTTCCACCATGACACAATACTTCTTCCTTCAACTTTTAGCATATGATTTCATAAGTTACCATGAGTGGGGGGAAAAAATCACTCCTAATGACCAAACTTTTAGTGCTAAACCTTTATAAAATTAGCTGGCAGGGTCCCTAGGTACTAGGGGTCCTACTTGATAGAATCTGCCAGAGCTACCTTCTATTGGCAGAGGCTTTGACCTCCCAGGGTCACCTCCACCCCCACTGGAGTGAGACTTTGGTGGAAGTATCATTAGAGGATTATTAATTGTCTCTTTTCTTCACTATGTCTGGGGAGGGGAGGAGTGAAGGAAGAGAGGAAGGCAATCCTTTCTTGTTATAAAATGATAGGAATGATCTTATTTAGGAAAAAAAAACATACCTTCTTTAAAAAGTCAAAGTTGGATAAAAAGTCTGCCTTTGTTAGTAGGAATCTGTCATCTGTACTCTGTTTTCTTCCTCCTGGAAAAAAAAACAGCCAGTTATAGAAGCATATTCCAAACTTCCACTTTTAGGTAAACTGAGAAAATTCAAAAATAAAATTTTCTCCAGTCTAAAACTTCTCTTTTCCAGATTTACCAGAAGAGACATTTTATCAGTCCTTAATCAAACTCCCCAAGAAACAACATCCTCTACTAAAATCCTCTTTCTTCTTTCTCTTTGTCTTAAACCTGTTCTCTTAAGAAAATGTCCAAGAAGAAAAGGAAATGGCTGCCTAAGAAAGTGGATTGATGGTAAAACATAATAAGAAAAATTCATTTTTATCTTTCTATCCCTAGTACCTAAGTGCAGTACCCCCTACTAGTGAGAACTTAATAAATGCTTATGTTGGACTAAATCATTCAAAGTTGCCATTTATAAATTGGAGGAAACAATTCATGTATTCTATTACCAGAATTGTAAAATAGAATCAGTAATAAAAATGACTGTAAATTGCCATGTAAAGGTTATCTCAGAAGAATAGCGATGTAGAAACAGGTACCTGTTAGGAGGCTAACAATTATTCCCACAAGTAGAGTGACCAGGGTTCCAATTGTGCTGAAATACAGGTATGATAAGGAATACCAGTTATCCATTAGGGGAGTTCTAGAAAGAAGAGGGGAAAAGCTTCATTATAAGATTGATCTATAAGTTTCATATCAGAAGCAATGGGCAGTCAGTATGCTCCATTGGTATCCATAAAGTGTTAAGAGAACCAGAGGAAAGGCACCACCACGCAACATTGGCTTCCCCTTATGGGAAGACACGGTGGGGGAGAGTCCAATAGGATTAGCAGGCATGGATTGGGATTGGGATCTGTATTACTAAGCTCAAGATCCATGGAGGTATATGATATGACCAATCCAAATATTCATACATCAGTGATCCCCAAGGCAAATTGGTGACAGTCTTAGGAGTTTTATGTCTTCTACTTGTCTCTTACTTAGTTTAAAAAAAATAATATTATACAACTTATTTCAATTACCTTTCAACATTGTGAATTTGAAGAGCACTAGTAGAAAATGGCATTTCTGTGGTAGTCATCGTCCAGTTCCCCTGGGAGTCTAAGTTGGTTATGTTACAACCATCAGTAACAAGGGTCAAGGGTAAAGTCCTCTCTGGAAGAGGGGGATAAAGCTGAGCTCCGATTCCAACCCAAAGGGAAATAACAAATCCAGTAGTGAGCCCTAAAAATGCCCCCTGTAAAATAGAAGTGCGTTTGAGAGGAAAACAACAGTTTTCTTTGGAAGGAAGAAGGAATGGGTGGAATATTGAAGCAAACTTTTCACAGGTCAGCGTTCCTGGCACATAGAAAGCAGTAAACAAACATCTATTTCAGTTCCTACTATATGCCAAGCACTCTGGCACATACAGTATATAGTTTGCAAATCTTTATTACGTAGTGATGGAGAAGTGAAAATAGCCCAGGATTAGGATTCAGAATTGCTTAAATCCTAACTGTTACTATCTGTATAATCTTGGGAAAGTCACCTTTCTGTGGATTAAAAAAAGTCTTAAAATTATTTTTTTCAAGTCAAAATCTAATTTTTCTCCCTTCCATTCCTCTCACCCCCAAACTAAAAAGAAAAGAAAAAGAAAACCTTTGTAACAAATATACATAGTAAAGAAAACAAATTCCCACATTGTCCAAGTACAACAAATATACGTCTTGTTCTGGGTCCTGAATTTGGGAAAGTCACTTAAGCTAGATCAGCCTCAGTTTCCTCATCTGTTAAATGAGGAAACCAGGTTAGATCTTCTCTAAGGTCCTTTCCACATCCAGATTTATGATCCTGTGATCTTTCCTGCCCATTCCTATATTGAGTCACTAAGTTGTCCATTTCTCATTTGGAAGGTGTCCTATCTTCACCTCTTCTCCTATCTTCACCTCTTCTCCCTTCTCATTACCACTGACCTAGTCACCTTATGGGGGCAGCTGGATGGTGCCATAGTGCATAGAGCACCAGGCCTGGAGTCAGGAAGACTCATCTTCCTGAGTTCAAATCTGGCCTCTGACACTTACTAGTTGTGTGACTCTGGGCAAGTCACTTAACCCTGTCTGCCTCAGTTTCCTCATCTGTAAAATGAGCTGGAGGAGGAAATGGCAAACCACTCCAGTATCTTTGTCAAGAAAACCCCAAATGGGGTCACAAACAGTTGGACACTACTGAACGACATCTATGAGCTGGCATCAGAGAACAGACATCTTAAGGAAGCAGCTTGGTACAGAGTAATAGAACTGGCTCTGGAGTCAGAGGGTCTGGGTTCAAATCTTGCCTCTGATATTTACTATGTGGAACCTTGGGCAAGTCACTTAAAGTCTCTGGGCCTCAGTTTCCCATCTGAAAAATAAAGGGATTGGACTACATGGTCTCTGAAGTCCCTTCTAGCTCCAGATTTATATGATTCTATATCTCTACGTGGCGTCCCACTGCCCCCTAGGCTGTCTTACCATCAGCCTGCCTCCTAGTGTCTCATCCACTACCTTCCTTGCCCACCGTGTTCTGGGCACAGAATTTATAGTACCATTACTTCTGGAAAGAGTAAGTCAACGGACTGACTCCTACATCAACCCACCATCCTGGTGACTTCCCACACTAAATCTCCTGATCCTGGCACCACTAAGTGATATATACTGTCTTCCCCTATTAGAGTATAATCTCCTTGAGGGCAGGGACTCTATATTTCTATCCTCAGTGCTTAGCATCATACTTGGCACACAGTAAGTGCTTAATAAATGCTTTTTCATTCATTCATTCATTCACTTTGGGGAAGGATATTGTCTTCATAGTCATGTTTTATACTTACAATTGAGTTTGCAAAGGGGACCAAGATCCCCAGAGAAAACAAGCCCAAAAGTGGTCCACCAATCATGCCAAAGATACTGAGTGCTGCCTAACAAGAGGATAAAATGTCACAAATTAGCCATGAAAAGTACATTCCTAAGGAAAAGTCAGCTTCTCCATTTGGATAGGAAACAATGGAATATGGGTCACTAACAGGAGCCAATCACACATGCTGGCTTTCCCAAAATAGAAGAGAGGTTTGCTGGAGTGCTGTGAATGAGTCAGAAAGTCAAATCTTTAGTGGAGTCACTAGAAGGACATCAAAGTAGAACAGGACAAGAGAGGTTGATACATAGATGGCAGGAGAGGAAAACTCTGATATTGGATGAGAAAATGTAGAAAGGCAGATGGAAAGAAATCAGTTCACTGACATCACTCACTGCCAGAGTTAGGTTGCACCTCGGTGATGACTGACGCATACTCATACATAGAAAAAAAAATTAGGGGTGTGGACTTCACAGCCTATTTTAGTAAAAGGGACATGAGACTAGAAGCCACTGATTTAGTGGTGTGATTTTGGGCTAGAAATTTAACCTTTCTGTTCCTCAGTTTAATAAAATAAGAGGAGGGGGCTAGATGATCCACAAGACACTTCCCAGCCCCAAAATTCTGTGGCTCTATTTGGGCTGTCACAACATGGGTTTAAATCCCCCACTTTGCCACTTCTTCCCTGTATGAGCTGGGGCAAGTCTCATAACGTCTCGGAGTCTCAGTATCCTCATTTGTAGAATGAAGGTATTGGACTAGGTCATTTTGAAGGTCCTTTCCAGTTCTAAGTCTATGATCTTAAATACTTAGAATAGGCTTTAGAGGTCATAAGAAGGTATAATTGGATGAAGAATGGAAGCCATGGAATATAAGGCAGACTTAGAATCAATGTAAGGAAAAATTTCTTTTTAGTTGGACCACCCCAAAATGAAATGGTAGCGAAGTTACAGACATCAAAAGTCTTCAAGAAGAGGCTAAATGACTATTTGTCAGCTAGGTTATAGAGAGAATTGTTGTGTGGGTTGAACTGGAATGGCTTCCAAGTTTCCATGATATAGACCAGTGGACTTTCATTAGAAAGGGAACTAGTGTATCTAAAATATATGGGTAGAATCCAAGAATGATGGTTGCCGTATGAGAGGGTCACAGCATAGGGAATACGGTGGTAAGAAAAGAGGCAAGGAGCATTAAGTGTCAGAGGTTCAGAAAAGAAAACAGTAAGATCCACATTTGACAAGGAATGCAGAGAGAAAGAGAGAGAGAGACAGGGAGGGATGGAGAGAGAGAGATAGATGAGGAGAAAAGGAGAGAGAGAAAGAGAAAGATGGAGAGATGCCATGTATGTATATCCATATATATCCATATATATGTATATCCATATGTAGACATATACACACACACACACACACACACACACATACACACACACACATACAATAAGACCCAAATTTGACAAGGAATGTGGTGTGAGAAATAGATGAGATATACACACACACATACATATACACACACACATACACATATACACACACACATATACAGAAAGGCATGCTGCTAAAAAGTCACTTTCTGTTTATCACAGAGATACCAGGTGGTGATAACCAACAGGAATTGCATCTCATGAAGGCATTCCAAGATTCAGTCTCTCTTCACCACTTGTACTTCAATGAATGATCAGAAGTAGATTTTTCAGCTATGAAAATGCCTTCCAGTGGCCAGAGTGAGCAAAAGCTAGAGAATCTGAAATAGCATTTAGGTGAAAAGTAAACTCACTGGAGACTTCTCATCATTGATTGATTTCCACAGCTGCCAAAATTCAACTCTTACCTGTAACAAGGCTCCCATGAGTGACGCCAGGGCTGCCATCCCAATGCACAGAGCTCCATACAGCACACCTAGAGGAGGAGATGGAAAGCCAAGTGCAGATTGATGCTGATAGCTAACATTCTCAATGGAATATATTCATCAAGGCTTTTATACAAGCAGATAACAGACTGGGCTGAAGAATAGCCACACTGATCAGAGCAGGTAAAAGGTAAAAATGCGATGTATTTTTCTACCAGAAAAGCAATATGCAAAGTTGATAAATAATACTCCAGGGTTGTGTTTAGGATTAGTTGAAATACTAGATTATATCAAGAAAAGAATCCCGGGAATTAACTGTGGGGATCATAAGCCTAACAACTATTGTATTATAAGTCTAATCCTCCACAAACATTTGTGTTTAGAGGAAAATATATATCTCCATCCTAGTTAACCAGCAGTGGAGTATTTCTATTCTGAATTGTTGTTATTGTTCAGCCATGTCCAACTCCTCGTGACCCCATTTGGGGTTTTCTTGGCAGAGATACTAGAGTGGTTTGCCATTTCTTTCTCCAGCTCATTTTACAGATGGGGAAACTGAGGCAAACAGGGTTAAGTAACTTGCTCGGGGTCACACAGCTAGAAAGTGTCTCAGGCCAGATATGAACTCAGGAAGATGAGCTTCCTGACTTCAGCCATGGTGAGCTATGGACTATGGTGCTACCTAACTTCCTGTTATAATTAGAACTCGCCAAAAGGTCAAATGGCTGCCTAGGGAGGTAGCAATTACGTCCTCTTCTCCCATTTCCCACTGCCAGCATTGGATATCTTCAAGCAAAAATAGGATGACTGCTTGATGGCTGTGATATAGAGGGAATGCTAGTTAAGATACAGGTTGGATGAGGCAGAAAATGAGGTTTCTTCCAGCTCCAAGATTCCATAATTCTCTGATGGTCTAAGATCCCTTCTGAATCTAGATCTAATATAAATTAGGCTTTCAGTCCTAACTCTAGAATCTCATGTTAGCACAAAAATGTTTGTCCAGCATAAACCAAGCCAGATCTCTGGCGATAAAGACTTTGATTTTGTAAATATCTAGCCCTTCGATGTCACTGAAAAAGTGAAAATATTCGACACTCACTTGTTCCTTTTGAAAGCCAAGACAGAGTCTTTTCTGAGAGTGATCGGAAGTGAGGTTTGATGAGGTCTTCAATTGTTACTGCAGCTAAAGCATTGATGCTGGAAGACACTGTGCTGGGGAGACAAAGAAAAACATTTAATTTTGGTTTACTTTGCTGCATTTTAATGAACATTATGAATATTTAATAACCAGAGAGAAGAAATTGGAAAAAAAATTGGTAATAACCATCAATATTTAGGTGGATTCATAGGATCCTCATTCTAGGGCTGGAAGGAACCCCAGAAAGCAACTAACTATGAAAAACCATCTCATTTGCAGATGAGGACACTGAAATTCAAGGAAGTTAAATGACTTGCCCAAAGTCATGCAGCTAGTGAGTTTCAAAAGCATTTGAACTCAAGACCTCTGACTCCAGAGCCAGTGAGTTTCCACACTATCTGATTCCATGTGTTTCCACACTCAGCTGAACTCAGCTCAATTAACTATCCAATCAACAAACGTTCATTAGGCGCTTGCTATATGCCAAGCCCTGTTCTAGGTGCTGTGGATACAGAAATAAAAATGAAAGCCCACGCCTGCCTTCAAGAAGCTTATATTCTCCCATAACTCTATTAATGTCACCCACCTGCCTTCTGGAAGGCCACAGGATCTCATTTTAAACAGGAGGTCAAAACCCCTCAATTAACAAAGAAGATAACTGAGGCCCAGGTAAAGGAAATGACTTGACCCAGTTAATAAGGGATAGGCCTGGGATTTCTTGAATCCAATCTTTCGATTTCAAATCCAGGAATTCTACTGCACTAGGCCACCTTTGAAATTCAGGAAGAGGGGCAGCTAGGTGGTGCAGTAGATAGCACACCAGCCTCAGAGTCAGGAGGGCCTGAGTTCAAATCCAGCCTCAGACACGTGACAACAGCTGTGTGACCCTAGGTAAGTTACTTAACCCCAATTGCCTCACCCCCCCCAAAAAAGAGCCAAAATTCAGAAAGATATGATTTGATAAAGCTGAAGGAAATAATTATTTCTTTCTATCCAGACAGATACATATATACACACACACACGTGTGTATTTATATGTACATGTACCCTTCACTCTGTTTGCCTCAGTTTCCTCATCTGTGAAATGAGCTGGAGAAAGAAATGGTAAACCATTCCAGTGTATCTGCCAAGAAAACCCAAATGGGCTTGCACACAGTCGGACACCACTGAAATGACTTAACAACAAAAAAAGAGATTGAGTCTTCAAGATCAAGTTCCCAAAATAAATGAATCAGTGCAATGGATTACTAGGTTAGAACACAAAATCTTTGGTTGGGTGTTGGGGGTCTGTAGCGATGTAGACGGCCACAGGCTGTTCATGAGGTCTCATTGACAGGCGGAGGCCCCTCTCGGGTGCTGATCTCTGAGAAAAGGTCGCCTGGTTCGGTGCTCCATTGTATGGATCTTTAATGATCTTTAACTCCCCTAGTTATTATACGGTCATTAGCAGTCTATTCTGGGATCAGTCAGATAAGTGCACAGGATGGTGCATGCACTGTCCTTGAGCACAGCATGGGCTATACATCATTGTAACTTGAGAAAGAGTTCCTGTTATTTCACTATATAAGTAAGTGCTTTGCTAAAAATAAACGGAGTTGCTTCCATCCTGCCTCCCGCCTCATCAATGCGCATTCGAGATAGAAAATCAAGCTGGTCTTGATTCATCAGGTGATTGGGAAATCCTAGGCCCTAGGCAGGCTCTACAGCCAAGTGAACTAGTTGTGCACAACAAACTGGCGCCCAACGTGGGGCTGCACTGCTGCCGTGAAGAAGATACGGAGAGTAATACAGCTGCATAAAACAGTCGGGAAACATCTGGACCAAGAAGACGCAACACCCACATAAAGACACCGAGGTCTGTTGGAGCCAGGCAGCCTCCTTGTGAGAGGTCTCCAAATCGTATCCCGTGGCACAGAACAATGGAGAGGTAAGATGAAGTCTTATCATGAGGCAAAATCTAGGTAAACTCTCAGAGAAGGAACAGAATGTTAGAGTAATATATAAAGTGATTGAGGAACAGGGGCGCTCAGTAACTCCTAAGAAAATAAGAGAGTTTCTAGATATTGTTGATATAAAATCTCCATGGCACCCCAGAGAAGGGAACTTAGATTTAGAACAATGGAAAATAGTGGGAGAACAATTGACAGAATTTTGTAACACCAAAGGCCCAAAATCAGTTCCTCTGGGCACTTTCACTATCTATAATCCTATAAAAATGGGCTTATAGGAGCTGTGAGAACAGAGGAAGCTCCCACCATGTGCCGTGAGGAATTTCAAAAATCCCCAAGGGGAAGTAGAAAAGAAACATGTAGTCACAGCACCATATTGTAGACATTGTGGAGCACTACAAAGTGAAAAAGTTTCCTTTTGTAAAAACCAAAACCTTAAGATTTTGCCTGGTTTTAGAATACCATGAAAAGAAAAGATAAAATAAAATAAGAATAGTATTATTTCATTTGCATAGGGAATTTCTGACAAGTTTCTCGCCTTTGGATTCTCCGCGTCATTTTTTTTCTATGTTTGTCTGTGTCTGTGTGAATGATGGTCTGTGACTAATGTCTGTGATTTGTTTAATCTTATACTGCCAGGCAGCCAAGGGCTGCACCTGGATTCTGAAATGCTGTTAGTGACTTTCTCCCCTTCCCCCTCCCTAATACCAGCGCATTTCCTGGGAGCGGGTGGATGGGGGAGAGAATGGGAGAAAAAGCACTTCATTATTTAGGTTACATAATTTGATAAAAGGCAAGAAAGTTTAAACATACAGGAATAAGAAAAGTATGGGTGGAAAGAATAATATAATCTGTATGAAGAGCAGGAATAGATGATTTGAGAGTAAAAGATTTGGAAACTTTTGGAGAAAAAATTATCTTTCTTTTTTGCATTCTAAAGCTCTGGCCAAAGCTTTGGGTGTAAGATTGAAAGATTATGTTGAAAAATATTCTCTTCCTTTCTCTCAAATTCCAACCCTGGCCAGGTTGGGGTGGGGGAGAAAGAAGGAGGAGATAAGGACAGTTTTCCTCTTCAAATCAAAAAGAAAAGTTTTTAAGTATTAGAATACAATCTAAAGATAATTTAGTTCATTCACATTAGTAATATGCATGTTTCAAATTTTAAAAATCTAGTCTCATTACAAATTGGTACACTTTGATGTGTTATGTCAAGTAATTTTTAATAATTTTGATGTTATTAAAACGTGAACTAAAAGAAACTGAAAGGTAGTGAGATAACTGTGTAAATCCAGCTAAATTATTTTATCAAGTCCGGTTAACCTTGTTCTATGATGTTTTATAACTATCATTTAGAAAATCAGGTATTTCTATCTTTACCTATGATTAAAAGAACAGCTTAGAGCTAAAATAATTTAACTATCACTCATGAAAATGACCAAACTTGTTAACTAAGTTATTGAAGTTACTGTTTTAAAGCTAAGACTGAGAAATTGCAACTTTATAAAATAATTTCTAATAATTGGCTTTTTCACCAAGACAAGTTTAAATGTGGGAAAGAAAGGATGTTAAGTAAAATTTCTTATATATGTGGGTCCTAGTAAATCTTTATTGATTATTGCACTTCTATGAAAATAATTAACTGTATCTGGCTTTAAGCCATAATCAGTGAAACTTACTGCTTGAGGTAAAAGACTCTTAGAACTATAATTAACTTTGTTTTGAGTTTGAATTTGGATATGGTCATCTCATTAAATCAGTATTTCCCATTTTCCCTATTATGATCCTTTAAGGAGGAATGTTTCTTACCATGTGCCGAAATTTTGTTCATCACACTATTAAACTTGTTGGTCAGAAATGTTCCCAGACAAAAATAATTTATTGTATGGATGATTAACTTTGCAGTTGTCCTACTACCACCAAACTTTCCTTATTAATGCCCAAGTTTTAACAAGCTTTTCAGTCAACAGGCCTTTCAGTCTCATAGATTTATAATTACCCTGAAAGGGTACAGAGGGTGTCACCCTTTGTTTACTTTGGGTGTATTGTTCTGCAGTCTGCAGGTATACCACCAAAATGTTACAAATTAATCAAGATTCCTTGATAATTTTTAATAATTTTCACATGACTTTTTATGGATATTAATTAATTTTAGCTTGCCTAATAAATCACCACTAATCAATTATTTTGATAACAGATAGCTAAAACTCAATTCATTTCCCCTTAATTTGTGGGCGCAATATTTTACATTTACTGAGAGCTGTTATTTTCTCCTGCCCACTGTTTGTGCTTTTTCTATCCATAAAACTGACAAAATACAAAGTGAAATCCAATGAATTTGTTTGGGTTCCTTAAAATTCACCTATTTTTATTATTGCAAAGAAGTCAGGAAAATTAACGATACTTTATGACTTCCTAGCCTTTGATAGTCATTGATTTAAAAGATTGCTTTTTTACTATTCCATTACAAAAAGCTAAAAATGACACATTACATGGATGACATTTTATGTGTTCATCCCAATCCTGAAGTGTTGGAAGAAATCTTGTTAAAAATACAAAATTTGTTGCAAAGTCATGGGATTCAAATAGCCCCAGAAAAAAATTCAAAAACATCCCCCCTATCAATATTTAGGCCACCAGATACTTCAAGAAAAAATAGTTTACATCCTCCAAAAATAGACCTACAAAAGTTGAAAACACTTAATGATTTTCAGAAACTTATAGGAGATATACAGTGGCTTCGGTCACAGATAGGCATTCCAAATATGAATTGATACCTTTATATGATTGCCTTAGAGGTGATCCTCAATTAGATTCACCCGAATACTGACCCCTGAGGCAAACAACATTTGTATATTCAGGAACAAGTAGTTGGAGCACACACAAACAGGATTGATAGGCATGAAAGTGTGGAGGCTTCTATATTTAACACTCCAAATTCTCCAACAGCAGTGATACATCAGAAACAAAGGCTTTTAGAATGGTATATTTACCATCTCAGCCAAAAATACTTTAAGTAATTATATGGCCTTGATAGGGGACTTAATACATAAAATTGACAACAGGTGTTTAACATTATGTGGCACACATCCGGAAGTCATACACCTTCCATTTTCTCAACAAATGATTGAAAAGCAATACAAACAATGCCTAACTGGCAAGTGAATATCAATTTGAAACTTGTGTATGGAAAACCCTTTAAATATCATGCAATCTTTGAGAATTGGCCTTGGATACAACCACACTTACAGCAGGTGAAATGTACACGGGATTAATGTCTTTACTAATGCCACAAAGATGAATAAGGCCTCTATCTGGTGCCCTAAAAGAAAGGAGTTACATGTGATTGAAACACCCTTTATATCCACACAACAGAATGAATTATATGCTGTCTATTGTGCATTTCAAAAATATGAGGAGCCAATGAATATTAGCACAGATAGTAAATATGTTGAAGGAATTCTAAAACATCTAGAGACTGCTGTAATAAAAAATACTGGTAACAATATATGTCAGCTGCTTAATGATATACAACTTATGATACAGAATAGGACAGAAAAATTTTATGTTTTGCATGTTCGTTCCCACACTCTTGCCCCAGGACCAATTTTTGAAGGTAATGATATTGTTGATAGGTCTTTAACAATGAATGTGGAAATAGCAAGGAATAGTCATAATAAATTACATTTATCTGCTAGGTCTTTAAGAACTTTATATGGCATAACAAAATCACAAGCACGTGAAATTGTTAAGCGCTGTGCTACTTGTGTGCCTTTTCAACCCCCTTTCCATGTTGATGTCCATAACCCCAAGGGACTTACACCTAACACCTTATGGCAAATGGATGTTACTCATTATTCTCCTTTTGGAAGACAAAAATATGTTCATGTTTCCATTGATACATATTCAGGCTTTATTTTTGATGCTGCTCAAGCAGGTGAGGCTGTTGGCAATGTTGTTAATCATTTGCTTCATTGTTTTTCCTTCACTGGCCCACCTCAATGCTTAAAGACTGATAATGGTCCTGCATATATTTTGCAGGGTTTTAAAAAGTTTTGTACTGAGTTCTCTATTAGTCACACTACTGGCCTTCCCTATAATCCTCGTGGTCAGGCCATAGTTGAATGTGCCAATCGTACCTTGAAAATGGTGCTCCAAAAACAAAAAGGGGGAGCTAAGGGATCCCCTTGGCATCAATTGAACACTGCACTCTACACTATAAATTATTTAAAATTCGATAGTTGTAACCTCTCCCCTGCAATGAAATATCTGGCAGGAAATGACAACAGTACTAGTGACACCACTAAATCAAACAGATTCCTTTCTCCTAAACATAATATGAAAGTTATGTGGAGAGACATTGACGGTGTCTGGCAGGGTCCAGGGCAAGTGCTAACCTGGGGGCAAGGGTTTGTTCTTATTTTCACAGGTGATGGAGAACTCTGGGTCAGAAGAAAGGATGTCCGCATTACCCATTCAGAAGGGACAAGGCAAGCAGAAAAGAAAACACAGGCCGGCCAGGAAATTGAAGGAGCCGAAAGAATAAGAAGAAGGCACTACAAGAACTTTTAACCGAGCTGTGCCTCTTGTCGTTATCGTCATTAGGGATGCAGAATACAGCAGCAGCAGAGACAGGATATACAACACGATGGGCCTTTGTGACAAAACCATGGCCCAGACTAGTTACATGGGGAGAGACAATACCTGAGGTCATTCTGCAAGGAAATGCCTCCACCGGTTTTAGCAAGGAATTTCATTTCATACCACCTAAGAACTGGTCTCAACACACTGTAAAAATGAACTGTACTGGTGTGGCTTTGGTGCCGCCTATTTGTGTTACAAAAGGCAATGACACCAAAAACTCCACGTGTTTACAATTATTTAATGTCACCACCCATTTTGATGGGTATGTGTTTAATAACACGGCACCCCCTCCTTATATTGTTGTCTTTTCTCAATTTTATAAGGTTACTTACATGGGCATCTTGGGGTCACAGTGTGTTAATGACATACATATCAGACGTCCAAGTAATTCAAAGCCATGCTATCATGTGACACTGATTAGCAAGAGCTTAGGGTATCCTCCTTGGTTATCTTATCATACTTCAGAACGTCATTGTGTTGTGTTACAAAAGAATTTTACATTACAATCCTGGCACAATTATACTAGGGAGAAAAACAATCATACTTGTGCTTTTGGCAGGTTTCCATTTCCTCAGTGGGTTTCCCTTCATGACAGAGGGGTTGAAAATCAGTTGTGGAAGGCATGGGCAGCCTTAGGCCCCATAAACATCACGAATTTGCAAGGGACCGTCCATGATAATATGAGAATGCGAGCTTGTTTGACTGGTAATCATGCATTTATGTGGGGAAGAGCACAGAATGTTAATATAACGGCCGTGGATTCAGGGGAATATAATGTCACTTGTATTAATTGCAGGGTGTCTGAATGTATAGGAACCAAGATTAGAGACCAAATTATTTTTGTTATTACACAACAAAAGTTTGCCTTGGTGCCTATGAAAAGCAAAGATTGGTATGAGTCACGTTCTGATCATATATTTGGAATAATAGACCAAAGTAATCAATTAGTAGTTGCTAGGAAAAAGAGATGTATTTCATGTGTAGTATTAGGAATTGTTTCACTTATAGCTATCATAACTGCTTCTATATCTTTATCTCAATCTATATCTATCGCAAGAAATGAAATGGTTCAAGCTGATTTTATCAATCAATTAGCTCGCAATGTATCTAAAGGTTTTCAAACACAAAAAAGGATAGATGATGAATTTTACCATATACTTGAGGGAATGAAGGAAACCATTATCGAAATAGGCGATGAATTGGATATTTTAGAATATAGAACACATTTAAAATGTGATTATATGTATGAATTCATTTGCCTTACCAATGTTAAATACAATAAATCCCAAAAGGGATTGGCAAAGAATACGTAGACATCTAAATGGGCTGTTTGGAAATTCTACTATTGCAGTGGATATTGATGACTTATACGAAATTGCTAAAGATGTTGCAAGGGCGGCTGATAAGGATTTGATGCCAGATAAAACTGCCCAACATATACTTGATTGGATAGATAAACTCCGTAATCCTTTTAATGACCTTGGACATTGGTTTATATCTCTATTGTCTTCCTTATTGCCATTATGTTTTATTTTGCTGGCCATGCTGTGTTTTGGACCGTGTTTGCTCAGGTGCATAGCTAATCAGATAAAGGACTTTGGGACTGAGCTTTATATGCTCTGTCTCCGTCAAAAACAAAAAGGGGAAGTTGTCGGGGATCTGTAAAGATGTAGACGGCCACAGGCTGTTCATGAGGTCTTACTGACAGGCAGAGGCCCCTCTCGGGTGCTGATCTCTGAGCAAAGGTCTCCTGGTTCAGTGCTCCATTGTATGGATCTTTTAACAATCTTTAACTCCCCTAGTTATTATATGGTCATTAGCAGTCTATTCTGGGATTGCAGTCAGATAAGTGCACAGGACGTGCATGCACTGTCCTTGAGCACAGCATGGGCTATACATCATTGCAACTTGAGAAAGAGTTCCTGTTATTTCACTATGTAAGTAAGTGCTTTGCTAAAAATAAACGGAGTTGCTTCCATCCTGCCTCCCGCCTCATCAATGCGCATTCGAGATAGAAAATCAAGCTGGTCTTGATTCATCAGGTGATTGGGAAATCCTAGGCCCTAGGCAGGCTCTACAGCCAAGTGAACTAGTTGTGCATAACAGTTGGGACACATACATTCAATTAAATAGGGAAATAGGAGCTTAGACCTTCTGCATGTCCTTATCCATTTTCTAGTCATAATGGTCTAACAATATATCCATAGTTTTTGATCTGGGGAGAGAAGGATCCTCTTGGAACACAGATTTCAATGCTTCTATATTTTACGGTCTGAGAGTTGCCTTGGGATCAGAGAAGTTGTAACTAGCCCAAGTTTATACAGCAAAGAAGTATCAGAGGCAGAATTTGAACTCAGGTCTTCCTGACTCCTAGCACCCTATCTACTATGCTACAATGCCTTTCCATGTATTTTCAACAAATGAAATAGGCACCTATTTTTTTTGAACATGGTGAAATCTCTGGAAAAGAGATTTTACTAGCATTGAGTAGTTATTATTAAAGTCTTAGAAATTATACGGCAATGTATTCACATAACAAGTCATTAAACATGGACCTCTCAAACAGCTAATAGTCTCAGAGGGAGAGGGGGTATGAAATAACCACAACTATCAGATAGTTATTACGTTGGATAAAGTTATAGTGAGATGCCACATTGTGGCATGGAGGTGATCCTGGTCTCTCTAGGGATATAAACACTAATTTTAAAAGGTTAGAAAAGCTTCTAGTGTGGGCTCAGCAAGGGACTATTGTCTGAAAATCACCCACCAGCAAGTATCCTGAAGGTGTTGATTTGGTCCAGAGCAATCTACTAAAGAGTAGAGGGTTCCTGACCTCAATTGGTATACATATTGATGAAATAGTTTCTTGAAGTATTGCATAGAACACATACATAAATTTCAAACAGTAAAACAGCCGGAATTCAACTTTAGCTCATGAAATATGAAAGTCCTTCATTAATTACATAAAGTCCATACCTCAATGTTCCACTGTAAGCACATGCCACAAAGAGTCCGGGCAGTCCTGGATAATCTTGTAAAATGTCCAGCACCAGATAGGGCATGAGCTGAAAAAGTCCAAGATTTACTAGTGTGCTCCTTATAATCAGATATATACCATTCTAATCACTGATGAAGGAGATAGGTCAATTTTTCAATCATTGTCATCACTGTCAGAGAATGAGCTATTTCAACCAAATGCATGTTTCAGATAACTGTTAAACTTGATACCAAAACATTTTTTTTACCTTTTTAAAAGTAAATATTTCTAAATTATATTGCATACTTTTGTATGTATGTCATAGACCCCTATAGCAATCTGATGACAACTATGGACCCCTTGTCAGAATAAAGTGTTTTATTTTTTAAAAAAATATCAACAATTGAAGGAAATGCTAAATTTCAGTTAGAGGTTAAGGAAGGAAAATAAATTTTAAAAAATAAGGAAAATATATAAAGAAAAGAATGAATGAATACAATTTTAATAAAGTAAATTAAAATAATTAAATTTTAATTAATTTTAAAAATTGAAGAATAAATAAAATTATTTTAAAAATAAAGATTTTTTATCCAAATTCACAGACCACCCTCTCAAAATCTATTTACAGATTCCCAATAAGTCCATGGATCCCAAGTTATAAACTCCTGGATTATACTAAAGATGTATGTGTAGATGTGTACAGTATTGGATGAGTATTAGCATATCAAAGGTAGGCAGAGCATTTGAGCTTCTGGGATAGAAAAGCAACAAATATTATCAATAGATTTAATAAGCTGTTGGCCTCTCTCCCACTGTGTGGCGATCTACAGGTAACAGATAAAAACAGAGATACAGGGGCAGCTAGGTGGCACAGTAGATAGAGCACTGGCCCTGGAATCAGGAGGACCTGAGCTCAAATCCAGCCTCAGCCACTTGACACTTACTAGCTGTGTGACCCTGGGCAAGTCACTTAACCCCGTTGCCTAGCCAAAAAAAAAAAAAGAAAGAAAGAAACAACAGCAACAAAAACCAACAAGGATACATAGCCTCTGGGCTAGTGTTCCAAAACTGGCCCTCAAACTGTGGCTGCTAAGCTGATTGTCTGGCCAGAGAAACAGCAAGAGAACCAGCTGCTATGTTTTCACAGCACAGTAATTTAGGGGAGTTAGTTTTCCTTGAGTATCTATGTGTGAATGTGCTCCTGGACAAATCGAAAGTGTCAGACTATGCTGTAAGCTGCCTGAAGTCTTAAGCATGGAGGACAACCAGGTCTGGGGCAGGGTGATTATGCCACAAATTCAGTAACAAAACCCTCCCCTGTTCTTTTCAGAATGCCTACGTCTGAATCAGGTGTTCTAAACCACAGGTCCGAATGACCATGAAACCCAAGACAGACCCTGGCACTTGCTTTCTCAAACAAGTCCCTGAAATCAGCTTCCTTTTTGGTCATTTGGAACTTTCTCATAAAGGTGGAGGGAAAACTAGGCAGTTATAGAATTTCCAGGACATTGGAACCCGGGGCCCTTTGAAGACATAGATTAGGGAATAAAAAGATTAAGCAGCCTTCCCCCAAATGGTTTTCTCACCTTTCAGAAAATCCTCATTATTGTTATGAGGATTCTCTGACTTGTAACCAACATTCAAAATGTTGTTTCTGCAATAGTAACATGAAAGACCACAGACACCTCCCTAGGAAGCTTTGACCCACTCATTCATCTCATTTGAGCTGATTCTTAGTCAAGTATGAAGGAATACACCTTAAAATCGGCTTGCACTAGACTCTTGGGGAAATGACTTGTCTCTCAATTGCAAATTCTATATTGACGTTGAAAGAACACGACATTTCTGAAAACCACAATTTTCTCCAAGCTCTTCAGTACAGTCTTCAAACAGAATTCTAAGCAAAGGTTCTACTGAAAATTGGAGCATATTTGATGGCATAATTTGATCAAAATCCCAAAATATGAAATCAATTTTTTTCATAAAATATCATTTTTATAATAGTAGTTTTTATAATTATAACATAATATAATGATTAGACCTGGAATTGGAGTCAGGAGACCTGGGTTCAAATTCTGGCATTTAGTAGCTGTGGCACCAAAGTCTTGTCAATTAACCTATGAGACCTTCAGTTTCCTCATTTGTACAATGGGTATAATTTATATTACCTATATTGTATTATATATAATATATTATAATACTTGGTATAATGTGTTATAATAATAGTATTATATAACTTAGAGATAATGTTATTATATAATGTGATATATTATTTTACATTATTATGTAATATAGTACTATTATGAATATATTACATGATATATTATAATATAATAATGAGCATGATATACATAATACTTTTACTACCAGCATCATAGCATTGTTGTAAGGAAAGTCCTTTGTAAACTTTAAAGCATTATATGAGTGAAAATTATTCTTTTAATTTCCTTAATGAAAAAGATCTGGGTCTATAAGTTGAATCAATGAGATATCACTGTCAGGTAGACAGCTGATTAAAAATAAATACGTGTGTAGGTATACATACACACACACACATATACATGTGCATATATGTATATGAAAGTTTTTCTATTATTTGACATTGGTAGGGTTTATGTCAAGGAACCAGTTTGGTTGAAAATACATACATGCATATCTATAATGCATATATGTATGCATGTACGTATGCGGACACACACACACACTAACCTGGTTCCTTGACATAAACTCTACTAGCATCAATGAAATGAAAGTTTTTCTATTTTCATTAGAGCTTAGTTTTAAAACAAGGGATATTTTGCTAAATGTTCATTAATTAAAGCAGATGTCCTTTTCTACTGGAAAATTTAATTGCCAAAGGATTTCAAAGATGTCATAAATGAAATTTTCCAAAGAGTGCATTTTATGACAATATGTAGAACTAACACACTATATTTACTAGTATATTTATTTTATGTATTTATTTATTTATTTTATTTGCTTTTAGGCAATTGGGGTTAAGTGACTTGCCCAGGGTCACACAGCTATTTAGTGTCAAGTGTTTGGTCTGAGGCCAGATTTGAACTCAGGTCCTCCTGACTTCAGGGCCAGTGCTCTATCCACTGCGCCACCTAGCTGCCCCATTTACTAGTATATTTAAAATTAGAATTCAGCAAATGTTGCTGGGCTGAACCTGTTTTATTATCATTATGAAACTGGTCAGAAGATAGACAGTGTTCAGGAATTTGTTCTCAGAAAAAGCCACAAATACTCTCCTGGGGCTTTGTGATTTCTTTAAATGGTAATTCAGTTTCTGATGCATGGTTCCAGGACCACTTCTTTTCAAAAGACGTCCATGAGCAACTAAACAGAAATGAGAATTCTTTCGCCAGTTTTAATACTCACTCAATCTGACCTTTCGAACTCATTTCTGAGTTCTATTTTAGTTGTTACCCAAACAAAACTACTTCTACTGAGGATCCTGTGCTCTTAAATTTTTTCTTCACATTTCTACATCTTAATTTTGGATCTGGGGTTCTTTTCATCCGACTAGCAGATCAGAAAAAGTAGGCTGAACATAAGAAAGATTGGCAGGCTCACACACTCCTTTTTTTTCTGTTCTACTGCACATACAGAAATGCTCGTTTTATTTGGTATTTGTTTTGTTCATTTGTAAAAATAAAATACAATGAGATCGTTTTATAATTCTCTTGGTTAGTTTTTCTTCTAAGGCAGTCATAGGAAAACTATAGTACTGAACCTGGTCTGGGGCTGACACCTTCTTTGCTGTCCAAGGATCACAGTCACGGTACCTCGAATAAAGGGAGAGCCCACATAACACTGCGCAGGTAAGAATTGCCCAGAGTCCTATGAGATTTACATAAAGGGACCTAAGTGGAATGAACAAACGATTAATAAATCAATCATTTATACTCAAAGGATTTTAGAAACTAAAATTACAGCTAGATGGTGCAGAGGATGGAGCCCTAAGCCTGGAGTCAAGAAGACCTGAATTCAAATTCAGACTCAGAAACTTAACCCTGGGTAAATCATTTAAACTCTGTCTGACTTAATTTCCTCATCTGTAAAATGAGGGTGATGATAGCACCTATGTCCCAGAATTGTTATGAAGAACAAGTGAGAATATTTGTAAAACACTTTGCAAACCTTAACGTTATATAAATGTTAGCTTTTATTGTTATCATCATTATTATTGTTACTACTTGTGTGACTTTGGAAAAGACACTTAACACTCTTACCAATGATACAGAATGCTATTCGCCTCCTGACAGAAAGGTGGACTCAGCGTAGAATGAAACCTGCATTTTTGGACATGGCCAGCATGGGAATTTCTCTTGTTTGGCTATGCAAACCTGTTAGAAGGCTTTTTGTTTGTTTGTTTGTTTGTTTTAAAGGGGGAGGGGAGAGTTAGGTGGGAGAGAAAATAAATGCATGCTAATTGAAATAAAATCAAAGATTTCATTGACTTGGAGTAGGGGAAAGATGATGATGTAAGTAGGGAGTGTTTCTGATACTTTTATGATATTAGCAGACTCATTGAGTGGGCAAGAAACAAAATACTGCCACTGACATCCTAGAGAATACGGGGAAGTATGCTCAATGGTGGGGACAGCTAGGTGGCACAGTGGCTAAAGTGCTGGGCCTGGCGTCAGAAAGACATCTTCCTGAATTCAAATCTGGCCTTAGACACTTCCTAGCTGTGTGACCCTATCTGCCTCAGTTTCCTCATCTGTAAAATGAGCTGGAGAAGGAAATGGCAAACCATTCCAGTATCTTTGCCAAGAAAACCTCAAATTGGGTCACAAAGAGCCAGATGCAAAACAAAATGCTAAATGGCAAAATCTGTGATGGGGTAGAGGGCTTATCCTGATGGTGAAGTCTCTCCACTAAGAAGTAGGAAGAAAGGGGACTATACTGACAGGATAGCCGGAGAATGTGTTTGCTACAGGATGTATGCAATTCCAGAAGGAAGTCCTTCTAGGAGCCTCCCACCATCCAAAATGGAGGACAAGGTGGGTAGAAACCATGGCCATACCTTACTCCATAGGGCTTAGGCTACAAGGATGACTGGGCTGGGTTTAGTGATTAGTATAACAGGGCCCCCAGTTCCAGACCTTTCCCTTTTCAGACCATTCATCCCATTTCCTCGTGGCTTTGCTAGATGACTGGTCAGCCCTACTTTGATAAGTTGGGGGTCTAGAACTAAGATGTTTTTGATGCAGGGATTTCCCATTGAGGATATTCCCCCCCAATCTAAAGCTGATAGGCACTGATTCTTCAATTTATAGTCTTACAGACTTGTCTGAGGCATCGAAGGGTCACACAGCTAGTGTGGATCAGAGGCAGGACTGGAAGCAGGTGTTGACCCCTAGGGCAGCTCTCTAACCACTAAGCTGGACTACCTCTCAAACTCATTCATACTAAACTGTTAATGGATAACAGTGCTTTAATCTGTTGCCTCTCCTAGGGATATCTGCCTTTTAATGAAGAACTCATGAAATACTTCTTCAAACCTGAAGACTATATTTCTAATGATGGGAACTTTAGGCACTGGGACAGGCTAGCAAGGAAGACTTTTTTGTCTTAGTGTGCCATTTCTTCAAATCACCCCATGTAAAGAACCCCCTACTTTCACTGTAAGGCTGGCTCAATTTAGAACAGTTAAGTTTTATAAACATTATAAAATATAAATATTTACTTACATATAAATTATAAACATTATAAAATCAATTGATAAAATCGTGGGGGAGTATTGTACATTAATTCACACTAAGGCCCAATGGGTTTGAGCTAAACATTATTTTTATTGTTTGGTCGTTTCAGTCATGTTCCAATCTTTATAACACCATTTGGGGTTTTCTCAGCAGAGATACTAGAATGGTATGCCATTTCTTTCTCCAGTCCATTTTATAAATGAGGAAACTAAGGCAAACAGGGTTAAGTGACTTACCCAGGGTCACACAGCTAGTGTCAAAGGCCAAACTTGAAGTCAGGAAGATGCCTTCCTGACTCCAGGCCTGGTACTCTAATCACTGTGCCACCTAGCTGCCCTAAAAATTACTTAATAGTGCCTTAAGCAGTCAGAAGTTGCTCAATTATTTTACAAATATGTTTCTCCTCTGTGACAATAAGCATGCACATGTTTGGGACATTATAGATTTATTTCTGCAGTGATTGATCATGCTCATGCTAACAATAATTTTGGGGGTCATGTAGCCATTACATCAGTTTTCATATTTAGACGTGGAATAAAATATTTTATAATTATAATCATATAAACTGAATTTTAATTGGGAGATTTGGGTACAAAATTTACCAGTGTAATTATTGTAAGCACTTAATAAATAAATCTAAAAGAATATGAGTAGAATATTAAGTTAACCCAGAGGTTCACAACATTTTTTTTGTTGTTGTTCAAATGGATTCTCAGAACGTAATATATGTGCGTGTATACAGATGTGCATGTATATGTACATATATACACATACATATACATACATGCATGCATACATACATGCATATATTTATTTATATATATATATATGTGGAACCACTGCCCTACACCAAGCTGCCTCTTGTCATCATTGTTGTTATATAATTATATAAAAAGAAGTAGTCTTTTATAAAGACTCAAGGACACTTAAAGAGTATTGATAAATATACTGGAATTTTTCTTACATTTTTGCATGGAATCTATTTTTGCAGGAAATATACCGCTGGACTTGGGATTGGTTAATACCATAGATGGAAGTCCACGTGAAGGTTCCACCGATGATGATTGTCCAAAAGGTATGTCTTTGCAAAGGGTTTGGGTTGAAGCTAAATGGAAAAGAGTAAGGAAGAGAGAATGTCAACCTGTCACACGCACAAAACAACACTGCTGAAATATTTCACATTTGAGGTCAATGAAGTAAAAAGTTATTTCTTTGACATTCAAGACATAAGGGGAGGAAGGATGCCTGGTTTTTATGTAGATACTCATGAATGTCAATGTTCCTCAGTTTTCCTCCCCATGAAATGATGGTGTTGGCTAAAGCAATGGTGTCAAACTCCAATACAAATGTGGCGCCATTATTTTGTATGTGAGCATCCCTTCAGAGTACAAATTGACTTTATTTTTAAAATATCATGTTCATGGTTTTTTTAATCCCTCTTTTTAATGTTTTAATTATTTTATTTTTAATTTAAGGAACAAAACAAGCATTTCCATTACATAGTTTAATAAAAAGAATAATTACACATGAAACTGGAAACCTATTATGTACAACTTGCTATTCCTTTTAAATATATGTGAATTTTTTAAAAATTTATTTTGTTAAATATTTCCCAATTACATTTTAATCTGGGTCAGTCCACACTTGATGCCGTGGGTACCAAATTATCTTTAAAGTTCCCTCCAAGTCAAGCATATTGTGATTCTGATCATTCATATATTTGCTATTTGGCTTTTTAAAAGACAGTGCGGTACAGTATTATAGAAACAGATCATAAAAAATCTTTTTAGTTCAACTGAAAATATGAAGAAATAATATGGTCTAAAAGATTCCTGCTTTCTCATCTTGGAAAGATGACCAATTAGTCAGGGACAAAAGGCCTTCCTTAAGGAAAAGGATTAAGTATGGAAATTAAAATTTGAACGAAGAATACCTCTTATCTTGTTAAGATCCTTTTCCTTCCCTCAAACCACAAAGCAAATGAGCAGTGACCTACCCTTTTTCATTCAGAAAGAACTGAAATACTGGTTTTTGGGTGGAGCCCTTTGCCCGGGGAGGAATCAAGGAAAGGATAGTGTCAAAAGTATTTTTAGGAGAACATAACTGACTCCATTTTGCGCTCTATTTGTTATTAATTACATTTCTTTCTTTTCCTTTGTAACACAATGTATTGAATGACTACTTCCACACTCTCCTTTCCCCAATCACTTTACAATTACAAAAAAAAAAACCCCAAAACAACAAAAAACCTTAAAGGCCTTTGAGTAGTTCCAAGAACTTACTGCCTTTTCTTTTCCCATCTAAAAAGTATGCAGTAGGAGTTTAGCAAATGTTAATTAACTAACTGACTGACTGATAGAGAAGATACGGTTTTCTTGGCTCTGATGTAAATAGCTATGCTAAAGGTCTTTGTAAGGGTTTTAGCATCCCCTTTCTTTTTCTAAAAATGTATCTTCTTTTTACCTGCCATACCTGGTCTTACCCAAGACTGCTTTGTAGGCATATGTGACCAACGTGATTTTACCCAAACTCTGATTCATGTAGTGCCAGAGGAAAGGCACACACACACACACACACACACACACACATGCACTCCATGGGATTATTGGACACACATGTCCATCCCCTACAAATGTGTGTAACACTCCAGTGGATATATCTGTCTATAACCAGTGCTAGGTGCAATAGCTGGCAGGAGCCTGAAAATTCTTCCAATGCTTCCAATGACTGATTGTCATTCTAGAATATTAACCTCAAACTACTTTTAACACAGTTTTTTCTTTTTAACTTTTTCTTTGTTCAAGATTTCTTGTGGTAGAGGTATATATCTAGGGGCAATTAGTTGGCGACATATGGATAGAGCACAGGGCCTGGAGTCAGGAAGACTCATCTTCCTGACTTCAAATCCAGTCTCAGACCCTTACTAGCTGTGTGACTCCGGGCAAGTCACTTAACCTTGTTTGCCTCAGTTTCCTCATCTGTCAAGTGTGCTGGAGAAGGAAATAGTAAACCAGTATCAGTGCCAAGAAAACCCCAAATGGGGTCACAAAGAGTCAAACTCCACTGGACAACAACAAGGGATAGAAAGGAGCTGTGCAATACAGGTTTAGACATCTTTCTGAAATAGAAATGCTTGGATCCTAGATTAATGTTAAAAAATCATTTCTGGTGGATTTCTGCCTAAAACACAGAGTGCAATATTAGTATGTTTTTCTTTGATGGCGAAATGATGCTGTGACTCAGACCCCAATGTCTAGTAGAAGCCAGCATGGTCCCAGGGCAACATTTCCTCAAAAGACTTCCATGATCTAAACCAAACTAAATTAAACAGAAACTAAAGAGAGGTAAAACACCATTTAAATCCTTATAGGAAGGGTTTTTTTGGAGCAGAGTTGCCCCCCCCTTAGGCTTGCAGAATCTGATCATTTAAGAGACAGGCCAAATATGTCATTTACGGGGGGGAAAAAAAGGATTTGTTACCATCGTTGTCTGTAGTCACCTTGCATGTTGTTGAAGGTAAAGCCTTTAACTATGCTGGTGTAAACTATTATAATTCACTTACCGGCTCTGGAACTAAGCCTTGTATCCCTCACAAGGATCAGAGCCTCATGGCTCTGGTGGCCAAGTCCACGAGCTGGAGCTGAATTCACTCCCATCAGTTCTGGGAATTCCACAACCCCACAGCTCTCTGTTCACTGAAAGTAATGTTTTGTATTTTCTTCACTGCTTGTCTGCTGGCTTGTTTGGCATCTGTGAAGTTTTTTTAGAGATATAAAGGCCTGGGAAGGGACTGTTCTTAAAATCTGTAAACCTTCACAATAAAAAGGTGTGTGATCACAAGGATTCCCTCACCCCCACCCTCAAGAAATGGTTGAATCTTATCTAAAAGAAAGCCTTCTAGTCCCTTAGGCAGTTAGGTAGTGGAGACGTAAGTATGGAGACTGTGAGTTCAAATGCAACCTCAGACATTTACTAGCTGTGTGACCCTGGGCAAGTCACTTCACCTCTGCTTACCTCATTTTCCTCCTGTGTAAAAGGGGGGGTCATAATAGCACTGATTATAACCTGTCTCCCATCATCATGAGGATCAAATGAGTAATAATTGTCAAGCACTGAGCACAGAGCCCAGCACAGAGTAAGCTCTCTATAAATGTTAGCTATTCGTAGTGTTGTTGTTACTTCATGTTTAACTAAAATTGTGCAACGAGGGGCAGCTAGGTGGTTCAGTGGATAGAGCACTGGCCCTGGAGTCGGGAGGACCTGAGTTCAAACCCAGCCTCTGACACATGACACTAGGCAAGTCACTCAACCCCAACTGCCTCACCAAAAAAATAAACGAATAAAATAAAATTGGACAATGAACTCTCCTATTGGGCAAGTAGGTGGCCCAATGGATAGAGCATTGGGCCTGGAATCAGGAAGACCTGAGTTAAAATCTGACCTCAGATGCTTACTAGCTGCATGACCCTAAGCAAGTCACTCAACCCTGTTTGCCTCACCAAAAATAAATAAATTAATTAAATTAAATTAAATTGGACAATGAACTCTTCTGTTGGGCAAGTAGGTGGTTCAATGGATAGAACATTGGGCCTGGAGTCAGGAAGACCGGAGTCCAAATCTGACCTCAGACACTTACTAGCTGCATGACCATAAACAAGTCACTCAACCCTGTTTGCCTCAGTTTCCTTATCTGAAAAATGATCGGAGAAGGAAATGGCAAACCCCTCCAATATCTTTGCCAAGAAATGCCCAAATGGGGTCACAAAGACAACAACAAATCTAAATGGCCAGAAATCTGTTCACTTATATGAGGTATTAATTGTGTATCCTGGCATATACAATGTCTGTAATGAATGACGTATAAATTGTTATCATTGAGGGTCATACTGTTCTTTCTACTGTCACTACATTTTATAAAGTAATGGATTACAGCCATAGTTCCCGGTACTGCCGATCTGAGATAGGATGGTATTGCTCTCTTATCACAGAATCTGAAAGTAGGCTATTAGGTAAATGTTGTAAATGTTGTGCTAGAGATTTTAAAATTACTCTCTCCTTAACACCCTATAGTTTCCCAATATTCTTGTTGCTCTAAGATGCTTAACTAGACCTGTCTACCACCTGAGTGTCCTAATTGTCTAGGGGAGGTGAGCCATATTTAATTGGATATTTCCGTGATAAAAACAATGCCATTTCAACTGGAGCGTATGCTAGCTAGTGCAATTATAAAAGCCCAGTGCCTTGCTTATCGTAGAAACCTGTTAAATCAGCTCCTGATGGGTTTGGGAGGGCTCCACATCATTACTAAACTGGAGAACTCCATGAGCATGCTATTCTCCTCATCCGCGAATGGAATTGTCTAGCAGGCTCTATAGAGTACACTCCAATGTAGACAAAGCAATGATCTGAGGTTCAGCATTCTTGAATGATAAGCAGTGGGCCATACCTGATGAACTCATCCATCAATGTTGGCTTCTGAGTTCAAAGAAGCAGGAATTCCTTCTGATCTTGGCCATGGAATTATTACTGGAGGTTCCCAGATTGAGAATGTACTCTTTCATGATGCTCCTTCCACACCAATGACTCCAAGAAGTAAATCTAGGTCGTGACTCAAGGATGCATGGAAGCATTAATGTAGGACTGAGTAGTCCATCCTGACAAATGGGCGTGCAACCCCTCACGAAAGCCTAGTCAAAGTATGTGCTTCTGGAATAACGTTAAATGTCTGGTATAAAACAAGGTATTAGTGAACTTTGCAGCCTTTCCAACCATCCAGTTGCAGGGTGCTCCAAAAGTTGAGATGAGTTATAGTCACAATACTCGATACGATTTGTTGAATTGTATAAATAATAAGGATGTTCTCCAGATGGGAGTTACAGTTATAATGAAAGAATCAGTATATAGATTTCAGAATATCTGTTCTAACTACCAGGCCAATTGACCAGCAGGATAAAGTTGCAATGGCTTTCATATTGGACCACCTGGATCCCATTTAGGATTGCTAATTAGCATATCCTTCTGGCTACTGTTAGAGAGTAAAAGGCTGGCTGGAGACTCCAATATGCATTCCTTTCTGTACCCCAAGGCACACTGTTCTAACATGTATAATAGCTCTGATTGCCTGGCTCTTTTTCTAAATTAGCTATATTAATTGAAAGCACAAGTAATACCACCTTTTGAACCAACTAGAGCCATATATTTTGCTACTGCTTAGCACATACAAAACTGAGATCTAAAATGAACAAATAGGGGCAGCTAGGTGGTGCAGCGGATGGTGCAGCGGCTCTGAAGTCAGGAGAACCTGAGTTCAAATTGGGCCTCAGACACACGACACTTAATTAGCTGTGTGACCCTGAGCAAGTCACTTAACCCTGATTGCCTCACTGAGAAAAAAAAATAGTGGAAGCATGGAAATACCTTTAAAAGCCCCTTTTTTGGTTCATATGAAATTATTAAGAAAAAATATTTCTTTGGCCTAACAGCCCTTTCCAGACTTTCTTCCCCCCTTCCCCCATCCCAAGAAAGATGTATTCGAAATTGAAGGCAAAAGGCCTTCCTAAGGAAACAGATTACAGATAGAAAATAAATTTTGAACAAAGAGCACCTCTTGTCTGGTTAAGAGCCTTTTGCTCCCCACACCCTAAAACAAGTGGGCTATGATACCTCTCTCCATTCAGAAAGGACTGGGATATTGATTTCTAGGAAGACACGCTTGTAATCCTTAAGGAAAATAGTCATGAAAAGAATCTAGTACTGACTATTGTTCTGGAATGTTGTCTCAAATTATATTTTAATATATTATTATTTTCCCCCTTTTCAAGACTGTTATAAATGTTACCTCAAGTTACATTGGGGTAAAAGGACATGTCCAAGTCATGGGAAAGGGGGTGATGGTAAAGCACCCCAGTTTGGACATCGTCTTTCTGTGTCTGTCTCTTTGTCTCAGTCTTTCTCTCCCCACCCCTCCCCTGAAATGTTTGAATAATAATGTTAAATTAAATAAAATTCTTTCTGGCAGATTTGTGCCTAAAACACAGAATACTGTATTAATAGTGTTTCTTCTGTGACAGTTGAAAGAGTAATGGAACTGAAATCAGGAGAGGTCTGGGTTCGGATCTTACGTCTGACACATATCAGGTCTGTGAACGTGGACAACTCATTTACTCTCTATGAGGTTTGGCCCCCCGGGGCAGCTAGGTGATACAACAGAATTCAGAGGTTCCCAAACTTATTTGATCTACTGCCCTCTTAAAAAAAAATTTACTCAGCAGCCCCCTGGAAATCAACTTTCTTTAACCCTTTAATGTTTTGTTTTTTTAATTTGTGTCATTTCAAAAAAATCTAAAATTCTTTTTAAGAATGATGCATCTTAAATTGAATAATTTATTGTAAATTTGTGGTTTTCTTCTTACATTGAAATTCTGATGATGCAATATTGTATCATGTAACCACACGGTATTGTACTGTAAACAAGTCATTACACATACATATTCCTGCCAATGCATGCTGGACTTGCAGAGGATGTGTGACTGGCTCACCTGCCAACACTTGCTTGTTAAGACCTGTCAGCTTGTTAAGACCACTGATGGATTATAACTTCCATTTTGTGTGTTTATTTGTAATCACTATGGCCTTAACTCTTGTTACACAACAGATGAAATGTATGAATGGTTTTTCAAGTTTTCTCCTCTTCTTGCCTTATGCTTCTACCACCTCCTTATTTTTATTCAACAAGCCCCAGTTGCACCTGAGGCCACTACCAATCCCCTAGATCATTTCAGTGCCCCCAGGGGACCATATTGCCCACTTTGGGAACCTATACAATAAATAGAGCACTGGCTTGGGGGTCACAGAAAGTTGGACAGTACTGAAATGACTCAAGAACAACAAAATGGGGATAATAATAGGCACCTACCACATAAGGCTATTGTAAGGATCTAATGAGATAATAATTGTAAAGTCCTTACACCATGACTGGCAAATAGTAGGTGCTATATAAATGCTTATTCCCTTCTCTATTTCTCATTCCCCCCCCAAAAAAAAACCAACCAAACCATCTCCAGCATTTGTCATTTTCTAAGAGTCATGTGGGAAACATCAAGTCTGAATGACCTGACAGGAATCACACAGCTAGTATGTATAGGTCAGAAGAAAGACTTGACCCCATGTCTTCCTGCCGCCAAGGTCAGTCTTCTAACCATTATGCCAAGCTGCATCTTTTAGTCACCAACTATTGATATCATGCTCTTATTACAGAATAAGGAAACTGGGTATCAGAGAGGTTAAGTGACTTGCCCATAGTCTCACAGCTAATGAATGACAGAAGTGGGATTTGAACTCTGGTCTCTCCTGATTCTAAGAGCAGGAATCTTTTTAGTACAATGATGAAAGATCAACCCCAAAGTGTGCTGTATCAACCTGAAATGCTTATTTACCATCTTCTACTTGCATGCCATCTGTACTACTATTTTAAAGGCTACTGTGTTTCTACTGAAAATTTATTCTGCTTATTGACTAATTGACAAATAACATATAGCACAAAGGAGAAATAGAAACTTACTCCCAGAAGTTCAATCTTCCTCCATAATAGGAATCATTTAGAATATTGTTGATCCCACCTTGAACCACAGTAGCCTGTATGATCACAGACACAAATCCTGCCACCATGATGCCAACTTGGAAAACATCTGTCCAGACAACAGCTTTGAGACCACCCTTCATTGGGAAAAAGTACATTTGGAGTATTATCATTCTGATGACAAGATCATAGATAGGGGGTAAGTTCATTTGGACTATCACCATTCTGACGACAAGATTCTAGATTTAGACCTGAAAAAGCTTTTAGAAGTCATTCAGTCCATCCTCTTGTTTTACAAGTGAGGAAACTGAGACACACTTATATTATTATAAGTGGTTTGCTCAAGGTTATATAGCAAGCAAATGACAAAGCTAGGATTTGAACCCAGATTTCCTGACTTGAAATCCAGCATTATTCCCACCACACTGCCCCACCAGGTCAGAGCATAGCACCATATCAAGATTTCTTCCTCAAAGTATTCTTCCCTATTCCACCTCCTAGCCCTACTCCCCTCCACCCTGCCCCCTCTACTGCTGCCAAAGAATCAAGTGAAGCTGAGGAACAAATAATAAACATTTTGGTTTTTTTTCCCCTAAATAATTCCAACTTGACCATCCTTCCGGTATAATTAAAGAAATTTGGGCAATCAATTTTCTGTTGTAAAAGGAACAGTGCCTGGCTACTGGAAATTTAAATTGTGCAAAGCCAACAAGAGGTGTCCCTGTAGAAATAGGGGATGAGTGAGCATACCATAGTACAGTAGAAAGTGCAGACCACCCCAGTGGCAATGACCGCGCCCCACAGATCGAATCCAGTGACTGTAAAAACAGAAAAAACAAAAGCATCTTCATGAAATGGTATGGTGCCACAGCCACTTGAAAGTTACATTTCAAACTTCAGAAAGTGTCGTGAAACAAATATAGCCACAGGGTAGTGAGTACTAGATTTGGAGTCTGGGGACCTAAGTCCAAATGCTATATGATCTTGAGCAGATGAGTACATTTCTCTGAGCCTCAGTTTCCTTTCTTGAAAGATGAGAGGTTTGGAATAGATGATCTCCCAGATCAAAGAATTTAGAACTGGACTGAACCTGAGAGATCACCTGGGTCCATGCCCCACATTCTATAGAGAAGGAAAATGAAGCTCTATGTGATTTACTCAGGGTCACACAGGTAGGTAGCAGAATAGCCAGAATTTAAACTCAGATCCTCCCACACCAAATCCCATGATCTTTCTAATATACCATACTTCTAAGGTCTCACATAACACCAAATTCTCTGATTCTACCTGTGAGACAGATTGGGTTAAACAGATATCATCTTCTAATTACTTCTCTGATACCTTCTGGTCCAAAACAATATTGTTTTATTACTTTATCTTGTGGAAGAGGTGCTCCAAAGTTCCTTCTTGTTCTGCTATCCTATAGTTTTATGATTCCAATGGATGGACAGTAAGGAGACATAAACCCCAAGTTGAGCTTTAGAGTGCAATGGGGCTTTAGACTCAGAGAAGGAAACTGAGGTCAAGTGACATGGCCCAAGAGATGAATGGATCTGCCCATGGTCAGGCAGCTACAGAGCATCTCAGGTGACATCTGAACCCAGTTCTTCCCAACTCCAGTTCAAGCATTCTATCTCTTACACCACATTGAATCTCAAGGATATATAGGAATAAGCCTGAAAGAATTGAATGAATGAAACACATATTGCTATTTCCCATAAGCAAAGAGGTCAGTGCCAATGGTGGAGTGTCAGGTAAAAGAAGGGTCTTTACTGCTGGATGTTTAGAAAGGATAGGGCTAGAAAGTAGATAAGGTAGAATCTGGTCTTCCAGAGTCTAGAGAGCTAGCCCTCTACCCACCTAGCTGCTAAAAGGTCAAAGTTAAATAATTAGACAAATGTATCACGGAGAAATATGGTGAGAGGAAGAGTAATAATAATAACAATAACTGACATTGTAACATCATTACAAGGGCTATAAAGCACTTCGCATACAACATCTTGTTTAATCCATAAAACCCCAGTGAGATAAGTACTATAAGAATTATTATCCCCATTTTGTTGTTGTTTCAATCATGTTTGACTCTCTGTGACCCATCTGGGTTTTCTTGGCAAAGATATTGGAGTAGTTTGCCATTTCCTTCTTCACTCATTTGACAGATGAGGAAACTGAGGCAAACAGGGTTAAGTGACTTGCCCAGTGTCACACAGCTAGTAAGTGTCAAGTGTTTGGTCTGAAGTTGGATTTGAACTCAGGTCCTCCTGACTTCAGGAACGGTGCTGTATCCACTGTGTCACCTAGCTGCCCCCAGAGACACATTCTTATGGTGATTCCAAAGTACATCCCAAGTATCTGATGATTAGTTTTATTATATCTATTGTAAAAATCAGGAAAGTTCAAGTTCCATGGGTATCATGATTCCAAACATTTGTTATCAGCACCAGGTTATAAATATCTATCATTAAGATAAGCACAGAGATCATAGACTGTCCCATTAAGGAGCTAGGAGTACAATGCTGAATTCCATGCTGGTCTTCCAAACAAAGTCCACTATCTCATTTTCCTTCAGACTAAGATCTTTGATGAGATTACAAAAGATGTCATCTCTTCCAGTCTCAGTTCTGTCAAAGGTTTGACACTGCCATGATTCTTTTCTTTCCCAAAGAAATTACCCTAGGCTGAGTGTGATGGCACACACTCAACTGTAATCCCAAGGTACCCTGTTACCAGGGAGACTGAGACTAGCAGATCTCTTGAGTTTGAGAATTCTAAATTTTAGTGGGCTAAGCCAATAAGGTGTTGAAACTAGTTCAGCAACAATATGATGAAATGGGAGAGAATACCAGGTGGCCTAAGGAGGTTTCAGTGAGCCCAGGTTAGAAATGAAGCAGGTCAAAATGACACTCCTGTGCCAAAGTGGATTGAGTCCATGGTAGATAGATAGATAGATAATCTAAAGTTGGGTCACTGTAATATTTTTAAAGCAAAAAAGAAAAAGCTTGTTAATTGAAAAAATAAATATAAATGAATAAATAAAGTACATAGAAGAAAACAGAAGGGAATTGAGCAGGACATATAGACAGCCAGGAGAGTTTTAAAAGTAATGTGTACAACACTCTTCTTAGTCTTTTTGCTTAAAAAAAAAAGCAAACATATACTTTTTTTTAAAGTGTTATGAAATGGAGATCTGTAATTTCCTATGGAATTTATGTCTCTTTGAGCTCAAAGATTCTCAGATTCTGTGAAGTTTTGTTCCCACATAAAGAGAGTTACTTTATTCCTCTGTAAGAGAAGGAACATTTCCCACACCTCTCTCATGAAATTAATAGGAGGTAACTCTGAACTGGAAAGAAAGCACTGAATTGGGGGGAAGGGTGTCAAAGGAATTGAGTTCAAATCTTAACTGAGCCACTTACTATCTCTGAGACCTTGGGTAATTTACTTAACTTCTCTGGGCCTCAGTTTCCTTAACTGTAAAATAAGAGGTTGATTTATCTGACTTCTAAGGTGTATTTTAGTACCTATGGGATCTAAGAGCCTTTGATCTTATGCTAGGATCCTACGATGCCATGAAGGTCACCAGAAACTCATCTCCATCACAGTGCTACATCAACTGATCCTCCTACTCATCCCCCAAGAGATAAGTGTTCTCCTCCAAATGCAAGCACAAGTAGCACTGGTGACTATTCAAAAATTTACCTTGATTCAAAGCAAGAGCCGGAGCATAAATAACAATTCCAGTATACAGAATCTAGAAAAGGAAAGACAGAGTATGAAAACTGAAATAATACAGTTTAATAGCATATGAATTTTATTATTAAAGTCCAGGTATTGTTCAAGTTCACTGGTAACTCTCTATTATTTAACTCTATTTTATGCATGGAGGGAAGCTGTCCACTCTCTATTGTGTCCTCTAGCACACCTGGTTTCATCTCCAGAACAAATGGGTTCACTGTATGGACCAAATAATTAATTTTCATGCTTTGGTGACTATATGTTTAATCAACTCTACAAATAAAATTCTATGTATGGCCATCAATAACTGATAAATGAATGAGCACTACAAACTCTTTTTTACCCAAATTTTTTTTACCAGCTCCTCCTGGGTGGTCTCATCTTCCCCCATCAGTTCCATGAGAATTTCCTTCTGAATTTCCCTTACCTGGTCCCTCCAACTGGGTCAGGACCCATTGGGAGGGACCTTGCTGCACCCTCAATCTTATATATCACTGGTTATCAGTTACTTTCCTATTCTCTGGACATTCCCTTCTATTGTGTTTAGAACTTGTAGTTAATAATAATAATAATGCCTAGCATCTACATAATGCTTTAAAGTTTACAAAGCACTTTTTACATGTTAACTCATATTTATGTTTACAGTAGATAATGGACCCCATACATGGGTATATATTTCGATTAGTTCTAGTGAACTGCTGTCAACTCTTAACACTACACCTTTTGCTATTTATGTACACATTTATGTATGTATCTTTCAACTCTTACTAGACTATAAGCTTTACTAGGGGAGGGACCAGCTTGTATTGTTCCTTGCATTTAACACAGTGTGTTACACACAATTAGGGATTCAATAAATGTTTGTTGAACAGTTCAGGAATCTCTGGGGAGGGACCACACTCACACTCACTCTGTTTTGAATCCTGGGCATCACATTTCAGCAAAGATATTGAAAAACTAGAGTCTAGCCCCAGGGAGACAATGAGAATTGGGAGGGTACTGGAGATGCCATTCATGGATGATCAAAGGGCCAGCTTAGAGAAGAGAACATTCGGGGCACATAGAGGCCAGGAGAGCTAAATTCAAGCATTTGTTTTTTTGTTTTTTGGGTTTTTTTGAGGCAATGGGGGTTAAGTGACTTGCCCAGAGTCACACAGCTAGTGAGTGTCTGAGGCTGCATTTGAACTCAGGTCCTCCTGACTCCAGAGCCAGTGCTCTATCCACTGTGCCACCTAGCTGCCCTTGCACCATTCTTTTTTTTTCCCCAATAGTATTTTTTTTCCAATTACATGTAAAATAGTTTTCAACATTCATTTTTGTAAAATTTTGAGTTCCAAATTTTTCTCCCTCCCTACCCTTCCCTCTCCCCTCCCCAAGACAGCAAGCAATCTGATATAGGTTATGCATGCACAATCATGTTAAACATATTTCCACATTAGTCATGTTGTGAAAGAAGAATCAGAAAAAAAAAAGAAAAACCACATGAAAGAAAAAAGCAAAAAAAAGCAAAATAGTATGCTTCAATCTGCATTCAGACTCCAAAGTTCTTTCTCTGGATGTGGTCAGCATTTTCCATCATGAATTTTTGGAATTGTCTTGGATCATTGTATTGCTGAGAAGAGCTAAGTATATGATAGTTGATCATGGTGTAACATTGCTGTTGCTGCGTACAATGTTCTCCTGGTTCTACTCGCTTTACTCAGTATCAGTTCATGGAAGTCTTTCCTGGTTTTTCTGAAATCCACCTGCTCATCATTTCTTTGCACCATTCTTTAAAACAAGATTGCATCTCCATGTCTGCTACCGTGTGTGTGTGTGTGTGTGTGTGTGTGTGTGTATGACGGAAAAAGTTATAAGCATGTCCAGGAATTTTCTTTGGAGGAAATGAGAGCCCTTCATTCCTAATCAATTACTTCTCTGAGCATTCTCTAAGGAAGGACTGAATTGGCAGAGCAAGTGGGGATCATTAACTGTATATATTAGCTGCAGACCTCACTCAGCAGTTCAAGCCAGGTCGCATGACCAAGCTCCCTTTTTCTCCCTCTATATTCCTCTTTTACCTCCTGGAGAATTGAGATATAAGTTTGGCCAAGACATCATTCAAATCACCATGGCAAAGGTCTACATGGGTTTCAATGGTCAAAATGAAGAAGAAAAGCCTTCTACCTTTCCCGATTGGTTCACTCCTCAAAGACTGACTAAGCTTTGCCAAAATCCTCATCCACGATGAAGTGCTGAACCTGATGAGTCAGGGAGGCTCTCTGTGTCAGCCCTTTGCCACATCAGTAACCCCAAACACCTGAGGCAACAATTAGCAGCCTGGCTTCACAGTGACCTACTTTCCCAAGCTTCCAACTCCAGATTGAGCCAACTTCCCTGGTACATTCATGTGTACCCGGATAGTTCTTTTTAGGAAACACATGTCTTTGAAGACTAGCTCACCAATGTGTGATTTTTATGGCCTCCCAATTTAAAGGCTAGTTTTCAGTTGAGTAAGCATTTGGTATTTCTTATTATTATTAAAGACCTAATAATTTTTTTTGGAAAGGCACGTTTGATGCATACATGACTTTCTCAATCTCCTTTCCTCAAGATGTCAGGCAAAAAAGATGAACCTCTGTACAATGATCTGTTGTTGTTCTTTTTTGAATTCATCTTCCTGACACTTGATTCTTACCTGATCATCCCAATGAACACAGAAGTGCACTGAGAGTCAAAAGCTGAGTCTGAAGCCCACCTCAGCTTCATAGTATCTGCATGACCTTCATCAAGTCATATCCCTGCTCTAAAATCCAGTGTCCTCATCTCTAAAATGGAAATAATAAGCATAAATTTATGGTACCTAAAATAATATTTTTGAAGTGAAAGTTTAGCAGAAAGGATGTTGGGTGACTAATATGGAAATATATTTTACATGATTATACATATATAACCTATATCAAATTGCTTACCATCTTAGGGAGGGGAGAATGTAAGGAAGGGAGGGAGAAAATCTGGAATACAAAAAAATTTTTAAATGAATGTTAAAAATTGTCTACATGTAATTGGAAAAAAGTAAATACTATTTAAAAAGGAAAAAAAGAAAGGATTTTGAGTTTGGGGGTCAGAGGATCTGGATTCAAATCCTGGTTCTACAACTTTATTTTTCATTTTTACCATTTCATTTTCGTTTCAAGTTCATTTAACTTTCCCAAACTGTTTCCTTTCCTCAAGTGTAAAATAAGGGAGGTGAACAAGAAGACCCATAAGGTACCTTTCCAACTGTAAAGCCAGAATACTATGATCATATAGTGTCAGGCACTGGGTTCTGGACCAGGGGTCAGCAGAATGAAGGTTCAAATCCTGCCTTTCTCATTTATCAGCTGTGTGGCTTTGGGGAAGTTATTATTCCTCGCTAGGCCTCAGTTTCCTCATCTGTCAAAATGAGGGGGTATAACTCCATAGCCTCTAAGGTCTCCAGTTCCAAATCTATGTTGATATGAGCCTATCAGTAGAGTTGCTATGTAGTTCTGCATTTTCTCCTACTTCCAGTTCACTCACTCTTTTTCCTTTTCCATTTTCAGTCTTGTACATCCATTTAGAAGCCCCTTAATGAACAAGACACTCAATTTCCATTGATATTTTGCCAAAACACTTCAGATTGCAAAAGTATAAAAAGTACACTGGAGAGCTACTTACTGTTTGAATGATGAACAGAATGGTTCCACAGAGGCGAACGTGTTTATTAAAACGAAGCTCTAAGTACTATTAAAAAATAAAAAAGAAGGTAAAATAGTTTAGGAGGCACGACCAATATTTTTTGTCCTAGAAGAGTAGCTATCATAGATTCAGAGCTGCAAGAACATGAGAAGGTTATATCATCCAAAACCCTTTAGGAGAGCCCAGAGGCTTTGTAGGACACTTACTATCACCATTACCACCACCAAATGAATAAGCCCTTCTCAGGGTCCTCAAGACCTTGGAAGACTCAGAACTATCTGGGTAACCTGAGACCACTGATAAAGGAAGAAATTCCCATAGATGGCTCAGGTTAACCTCACAGAGTCCAACCTTGCAGTATGGGACCATGGAAACAGGACAAGGCTCAAAGTTAGAGAAACTTAGTTAAATGGGAAGCTGTTACTTCTGCTTTTTTTTTTGTCTATATGAAACTGGCAAGACTTACCTAGAATACTGCTTGACCAAATACCTTTATCTCACCTATGTTATTCCCCCATCCTCAGGAAGATAGAGGATGAGCTAATATTATTCTAATAGAGTGTTAAAGAAGACCTCTTTCCCAGAAGCGGAGACCCCAAAAGATGCCCCTAAAGTGCCTCTACCTCTAGATTTCTCTCCATTTGGGGGATTTGTTATAGCACTTTTGTTAAAGCATTCTCTTTGAAGGACCCTTTCTCTACAACCAAGTGCCCCTATAAAGAACAGACTCATCTCCTGACAGCCACGCCCATAATAGATGTCTGGGTAGAAGAAAAAACAGAGATATAGACAAAAACAAAAATTATTTTCACCTCCCCACAACCCTGTGACATTGGTGCTAACTGTATTATTCTTCCCCATTTTTCAGATGAAGAAACTGAGGTTTAGACAAGTTAAGTGATCTGCCCACAGTCTCACAGCCAGTTAAGTATCACAGTCAGGATTTGAACCCTGGTTGTGATGTCTGCACTATTTTCTCTACTAGTCAACACTAATTAAGTATGTTTACCAAAATGATTTTTAGCAGCTAGTGTTAGGTAAAGGAAGGCAAGAAAGTTGAGCCTGGAATATTTACACTGCCTATTAAGCAATCAGTTTTTGTTGTTGTTCAAGCATGTCCAACCCCACTTAGGGTTTTCTTGGCAGAGATACTGGAGTGGTTTGCCATTTTCTTCTCCAGGTCATTTGACAGATGAGGATACCGAAGCAAACAGAGTTAAGTGACTTACCCGGAGTCACACAGGAAGTTCTGTGTGGCTGGGGAGTGAGGCCAGATTTGGACTCAGGTCCCCTGACTCCAGACCCCAGTACTTTATCCACTGTACCACCAAGCTGCCCCAATTTTTTTTACCTTATATGAAAAGAAAGTCACAGATGAACACTTTAGTCTACAAGTTCTTAACCTGGGATCTGTGAACTTTTAAAAACTGATAACTTTATTTCAACATAATTGTTTGCTTTTGTAATCTTATATATCGTATTCATTAACAAACATTGTTCATAGGCTTCATCAGCTGTCCAAAGGAGTTGATGACACAAAAGAGATTAAGTGGCTGTTTTTAGTGGCTTCCTCCACAGTCTCTATTTACCGACATGCTCCTAAAATTTCCTTTTCTCCTCTGCCTTTGACCAATTTCTCTTTCTTTGAATGGCTACACTCTATACAGGCATTTTGCCTATATTTTCCTAGGCTCAGCTCTGTCTACCAAATGGATCACACCCCCTCACTCTGGAGTATCACGGGCAGCTAGGTGGCCTAGTAGATAGAGCACTGGGCTTGGAATCAGGACAACCCTTCTTTCTGAGTTCAAATCTGGCCTCAGACACTTACTAGTTGTGTAACCCTGGATGAGTCACTTAATCCTGCTTGCCTCAGTTTGCTCATCTATAAAGTGAGCTGAAGAAGGAAATGGCAAACTCCTACAGTATCCTTGCCAAGAAAAATCCCAAAGGGAGTCACAAAGAATTGGACATGACTGAAACAACTAAATAATAAAACAACAAAAAGATCCCCAGTCCTGTCAGTACATGGGGAAACAGCCAAGATCCAACACACAGCTATGTCTAGGATACTTGACCATATTCTACAGCTGATTTTTTTTTACATGATGCTCTTCAATTCAATTCATTCCAACAAGCATTCATTAAGCACTTAGAATATGGGAGGCAACAGTGATAGAGAGCAGGCTCATGTAGAAAGACTTGGGATCAGTTCCTACTTCTGAAACAGTGTAACCCTGAGCAATTCACCTAACCTTATTCCCCTAGACAACCATCTAAAACAGTGGTTCTCAAAGTATAGTTAGAGATCCCTGGGGGTCCCCAACTCGGGGCTCCCTTCAGGGAGCCTATGGGCTTAAAATTATTTTAATTAATAAAAAGTTTAATTTATTTATTATTTATTAATCATTATTAAGATATTATGCAATATTAATATAGCAATTAATTATTAATTAAAATAAAATTATTTTAAAATTATTTAAATTATTTTCCTAATAATACTAAGATTTTAAATTTCCAATATGGCAAATATGGATAGATATAACCCACCACAACAAAAGCTATGGCAGGGAGAGGGGTTCCTTAATAATTTTTAAGAGACTAAGGGAGTCCTAAGACCAAAACACCTGAGAACTGCTTCCCTGACAAAGGTTCTCAACCCAAGGACCATGAACTTGGTAGGGTTTGGTTTTCTTCAGTATTTTGATAACTACATTGCATTACAATTGGTTTCCTTAACCTTGTGTATTTTCTTTAATGCGTTTAAAAGCATTGTCCTGAGAAGGATCCATCAAGGTCATCAGACGGCAAAAGGGGAGCATGAGAGAGGAGGAGAGGGTAGGGAAAAAAAAGGAAAGAGGGAGAGATACAGAGAAAAGGAGAGAGAGGGACAGACAGAGAGATGGACACAGAAAGGGAGAAGGACAGAGAGAGAAGGAGAGGAGAAGGAGGGAGGGAGAAGGAGAGATAGAAAGAGAGAAAGGGAGAAAGAAAGAGGGAGAGGGAAGAGGAGAGGAGAGAGAGAGAGAGAGAGAGAGAGAGAGAGAGAGAGAGAGAGAGAGAGAAAGACAAAAAGACAGAGATAGAGAGACAGACAGAGAGACAAAGAGAGAGAGAAGAGGAGGAGAGGGAGAGGAAGAGGTCTAACAGTGTAAGACAGTGATGTGTACAGAGGGAATTGTTTTTTATTTTTTTAAACCAGTTCCCATACCAATAAAATCAGAGAGTTCACCCCACCCCTCCCCACAGAACAAACAATTGTTCATGGCACTGCCCTGAGTATTAGAGATACACAGATCAAAAAAAAATAGTCCCTGTTTTAAGGGGCTTACATTCTATATGGCAATAGAACCAAATATGTTGAAATATAAATGAGATAATTGGTACAGTAAAAAGAGCCCTGGATTTGGAATATGAGGTCCTGAGTTTGAATCTGAGCACTATTGCTTACTATCTGGGCAAGTAATTTCACCTTTCTTGGTGTCAGTTTCCTCATCTGTAAAATGTGGGAGTTGGACAAGTTGGTTTCTAGGATCTCTTCCAGCTCTGAATCTATAAAAAGATAATAATGAGATATTTTGGTGGGGGTTAAGGTCAGGGGAGAGAAAAACCATTTCAACTGGGAAGATCAGAAAAGGTTTCCAGGAAAATACTTGCACCTAAGCTAAGCCATGAAGGAAACTAAGGGAAGGTTCAGAGAGACCATCGAGAGAGTCCAACCATTTTACAGAGAGGCAAACAGTCCCAGAAAGGGTGAGTAGGTCACATAAGCAACAAATGGCAGGATCAGGATTCAAACTCGAATCCTTTGACTCAAAATCCAGCCCTTTTCACTTACCTCATTTAAACTGAACCAACCTCACTATGAAATTGCCCATCAGTTCTATCAACTGAAACAAACACTTAGACTAACTAGGCTGATCTCTGGTTGTTATGCTCTATGAAATAGAACACTGTCTGTTGAGTTTCAAAGTATTAATTAACAGATACTGAAGGGTGGAGGTGAAGAAGAACGCTGAAGGCATCTCTGTCCTACCACAGAGTCAAGACTGAATTTTCTGGACTCTTGTTTCAAAAACCCTTCACCTTCTTATCTCCCCCCACCCCACCCCACCTTTTTTAACTTCAATCCCTCTTGATTAAGCATCAACCCTGTGCAATGTCAACAGATTCTTCAGTGCCTACAGTGTGCAGAGCACCCCTGAGCCAGGCCTTGGGAGAAGGACAAAACTTAGAAAAGAGACAATCTGGTTCTCCCAGAACTCACTGTCCAATGCAAGCATATGGCACAGACAGAAATAATCAGAATAAAGGATTTCCAGGACTCTGGCTGCTTTAAAGCAGTACAGAATCACAGCATATATTTGTATATTGTACATTATACTCTTTTTTTTTTGGTGAGGCAATTGGGGTTAAGTGACTTGCCCAGAGTCACACAGCTAGTGTCAAGTACTTCAGGGCCGGTGCTCTATCCACTGTGTAAATCCAGCTGCCCCTATATATTGTACATTATAATTGTATATTGTGTGCACCTGTTGCTATGATTGTCAGGCTCAAGCTCCAAAGATCATACACACACACACACACACACACACACACACACACATCCTGGTGTAGTGGATACAGAACTATAGCCAGTAAAAAAAAAACCTGCAAGTCTCATTTCTGACACATACAGGAATGGCTGAATGGCTGTGGGGCCTTAGAGGACTATCTAAGTCTACATGATGCAGAGAAGGCACTGACCTGCATTGAGGGAAGCAGTTTCTTATTGCAGTGAAATCACAAATCCAGTCCTTACTCATCTCTCTCTGTCTCTTCCCCACCCCTCTCTTTCTTTCACTCTCTATCCTCTCCTCTCTCTCACTCTCTCTCTCCCTGTCTCTGCCTGTCCCTGTCTGTATCTGTCTCTCTTTCTGCCTTTCTCCTACCTCTCTCTATTCATATGTTTATACACACACACACACACACACACACACACACATACACACACGAGTCTCTCGCTATATATATATATATATACAGATGTATTGAGATCTATCTATATATAAATATATATCAATTAAGTCATAAATAAGTAAAATATAAATAAAATATGTTTATTATATTTATATATCATACGTTATATTGTATTATATTTGTGACCCTGAGGTCATTTATCTATCTACTAAACCATTCTGCTTTATATATGTGTGTGTATGTGTGTGTATGCTATGATTCTAAAAAGTATGTGAGAGAAAAATGCCGGGATTTTGAACATGTTAATATTATGGTTATTTCTGTCTCTATCATTTATATGAACACACACATGTGTGGATATATATGTATATATACCATATGTTTACATGTGTATATCTTCAGTCCCAATCTCTATTACACACATACATGCATGTATGTGTGTGTCCAGACATGATTTCATCAGCATATGGAACATGGAACTCCCAGTGTGAACACACCCTTCACCAATGCAGATCAGTCAGCTGTCATTTATGTCTTTTTTTTTTAGGCAATTGGGGTTAAGTGACTTGCCCAGGGTCACAAAGCTAGTAAGTGTCAAGTGTCTGGTCTGAGGCTGGATTTGAACTCAGGTCCTCCTGACTCTAGGGCCACTGTGCTACCTAGCTGCCCTCATTTGTAAGTGTTAATGAGTTGCCCTTCATTGACAGGTTAGGTTACTTGACCAAGGTCAGGGAGGTGAAACTTGAACCCAGGTTTTTCTGACCCCAAGGTCAGTCTTCTATCTCTATAGAGCATGCCTTTAGAGCCAGGTAGGAGAGAAAAACAGGGTGCGGTTAATCTTACTTTTCTCAGACAACAAAAGGACAGAAAGTTGATTGCCAATTGGGTTTGGCATCAGTGCTTTACCATCTTACCTGGAAACCGAGTCAGGAACATATTCTTAAGCCAAAGCTCAGTTCTTTTGGCTCCCAGCTCAGATTTTTTGTCCCCTCTCACTAATTTGGCCCAGGGACATTTTTGTAGCCCACACTCCAACCTTGATTTGGGGTATAGTTTCCCTAGCAAAAGTTCAAATTTCAGGAGGAAGGGAGACTTACAAAGCTCTCTAAATGAACAAAAATGCACCGGAAAGCCTTCCACCCCTCTACTTTCCAATGAGCCAACAAGGTTGAGAGAAGGCTGATTAAATAATCAGGTCCCTGTGTCTTTGTACTGCTCGCAAGAACTGTTTGGGGAAAGAAGATAGGATTTCATAAAGGGGGAGGAAGTATGTCATCGTGGAAAGAGCTCCGGATTTGGAATCAGAGGACTTACTACTTAATGCTTGTGTGACCCTAGACAAGTCATTTAACCTCTTTTGGGACCCATTGGGAGGGAAGGGTTGGACGAGATGACCCTATGGTCTCTTCCAACTCTAAATCTTTAACCCGACGACTCCAAATTCAATATAGTAAAATCTACCCAAATCAAACACCCACCGGGGACATCAGTGGCCAGGGGAAGTGTCTCCTTACCTCGTAGGTGCTGGTAATGCCCAGCTTGTAAAAGACTGGGAGGAAGACCTCGGAGCTGAGGATGACCACTAAGGCGTAGGTGATGGCAAAGATGCTGTATATGGCCCCAAAGCGATAGACCTCAGAGGGGGTCCCCAGGACTGTGACCGCGGACATGAAGCTGGCGGTGAGGGACAGCGCAACGGGCACCGCGGTCATCCTCCGCCCGCCCATTAGGAAATCATTGGAGGTCTGCTGGCCGCCTCCGGCGAAGGCATAGTAAACACCGATGGCAGCAGAGATGAGCAGCATCCCGGCGAACACCAAGTAGTCCCACACCACGAAGGTGCCGATTTCCCGCGGCGCGCTCATGACTGCTCCGCACAAGCTTCTTTCCAGAGTACCGGAGCGAGCCGGGAGTCCGGGAGCGGCTGGCTGTCAATCAGCCCGGCCACTGGAGCCTTTCCAGAAGTGTTCCTGGGAGTATCCCCACCTTGGCCCCCAGGGGGAACTTTTGCGGGGGCGGGCAGAGACCAGTGAGACGCTCCTGGAGCTGTCCACGCTGAACCCGTCACTGGAAGTGCGGTAAGGTGGGAAAAGATTCGGCAGGTGCAGGCCACTACGCTGCCAGAGACTCTCTGCTTGCCACAGTGGGCTGGATCCTGGAGATTTGAATGCCCGGTACCTGACTGGGATTGCTGGTGACGGCAGGAGTCCTGTGTCTTCGAGCCTTGGCCAGCGAACTAGCAGGAAGTGGCAGCTTTGGCCACCCATTGGGAAGGGCAGATGCAAATTTAAATGAGAGGGAGAAGCTGGAGGAGGGTGTGGGTCTATCTCTTCAACTCCTGGCGTTACGGGAAGATAGGAGGAGGGATTTTTCTTTTAACCGACAATTTCTTTAATTAGTTGTTGGTGTGGAGAAAAAAATAGTAGATGGTAGATCTTACCTTCTCCAGATTTCTAAACGATAGAAGGAAAAGATTTATTTATCTGCTATGGGGGCTACAGATAAGTGTGTGATCTTAGTGACAGAGACTGTGACACATCCTTATGTGTATATATTGGCACATGAAGACAACTGCTAATCAGATAGGAGATAAAGCACACTCTGTAACATTCAAGATTCAGTGTTGTAATGATTTAGGCGACAAGTATTTCTATGGTATGACTAATGACACAGCCACACGCCTCATTTAATATGATTGCCAGGTAGTAGGTTTTGAAAGAAGTGATTATTAGTAACCAATGATTTGGAGAGCTCCAGGGTTCCCCCATTTTTTTCTATAGTCCTCATTTCAAAGTTCACTCTTTTGGACATTAAATTAACTCTCCACAATCTTGGTCAGACCCCACCCAACCTGACCAGCAATCTCTAATCTAAGGTGAATTCAACTCAATCAAGCTTGGGTGGCAATAGATCCTTTTGTATAGATTGCCCAAGTCTGGGGATGTTCTGGGTACAGGGATAGTCTGTTTGTCCAAGGGTGACATGATGTCACTCTCAGACCCTCATTGGAGTGAGCTTGCTTCTCTTTGTAAAGTTTACCTCTCATTAATTGTTAACCAATCAGAGTTAATTGCCCCCTCGGGAACACCCCTCTACCAAGGGCATATAAGCCTGTGAGCCAACTGCCATGATTGTCTTTGGCATTCCAGAGTGCCACTGACCTCTTTTATTAAAATGCTGGCATTATTACTAAAATGACTACACAAAAATTATGTCTCTCGAATGCCACAGTTTTCTTCTAAGAGACTTGCTCTCACCTTCTGAAATAGGCACTTCTTTGAGGTTAGTATTTTTCATAACCTCTCTGGGCCTCAGTCTCCTATTGTGGAAAATAAGGGGGCAAGGGTAGACCAGGCACCAGCAGCTAGGTGATTCAGAGGATAGAGCACTGGATGGAGAGGAAAACCGACCGAGTCCAAATCCCACTTTAGACACTCACCAGCTGTTTGACACTGCAGAGGTCACTTCACCTCTGTCTGCCTCAGATTTCTCATCTGTAAAAGGGTTTTTTGGTGGATAAAGTGAGAAAATATTTGTAAAATAATTTGTAAAATATATTACTATATATATATTACTATATATATATAGCACTATATAAATTCTGGCTATTATTATCCCTCAGATCTTTTTTTGACTGTCTTTCACCTTCTTTATTTGGCATATATAACACAGTTTCCTATTTTAACTATTTGTTTTTGAAGGTACTAAGCTCAGTTGTTTGTTTGTTTGGTGAGGTAATCAAGGTTAAGTGACTTGCCCAGGGTCACACAGCTAGTAAGTGTCAGAGGCTGGATTTGAACTCAAGTCCTCTTGACTCCAAGGCCAGAGCTCTATCCACTGTACCACCTGGTTGCCCCAGCCCAGTTGTTTCTTTAAAAAGACTACCATTGCCATCATGCATGTAGTTACATAGTTCAGGGTATACAAATACCCAGATTATATACAGTTATATATAATATTACACATCTAGTTATGTTATATAGAATACATTGACTACACAGAAACACACACACGCACATACACATACACATATACACTTTTTGTAACTGAGAATTCTCTGTACATCTTTTTATGCAAGAATAATAGTCTTCTGGAGGAAAATTAAATCCAAGTAATTCAATCATTTAAACAAATACATGATTTGTAATTATGTCTCACACTTGGCTCATTTGTAAGAACTAGTCCGGTGAGTTCAGTGCAGGCTGTTTCCTTGCTTACCATGGGAATCAAGTCCCCTTCTCAGAATGTCCCTTTGAAGTTACTAATCCTTCAGGGTTTAACAAAATAGGGAAATGCTGTTGAACAAATGAATACCTTCCCATTGATTCCTACACTTTAGAAGAGAACCTCAGATCATGAAGGTACAAAACATCCCTCTAGGCTCTCCTCCAGCTGCTTTCCATCCTACAGGATTGCTCATCCTGCTTCTAATAATGAGAAATCTCTGAGTGTTAGTGGAGGCTTATCACTCCTTGAAAGTTTCTCATTCTCCTCAAGAAGGACTGAGCTCAAATCTGGCCTCAGACACTTACTAGCTTGTGACCCTGGGCAAGTGGCTTAACTCTGTATGCCTCAGTTTCCTCAACAGTAAAACAGGGATAATAAATACACCTACCTCACAAGGTTGTTGGAAAGATCAAATGAGATAATAATTGTAAAGCTCTTAGCACTCTGTCTGGTACACAGGTGCCTTCCACTCTTCCTGTAGCATTTACCTCCATAGGGATGTTGTGAGGATCCAATGATATAATGTATGTAAAGCTCTTTGTAGACCTTAAAGTGCTATATAAACGAAGGCTAGGGACTGAACCTGTGATTTCATTTGGTATAAGGAAATTCTAGATGAGAAAAACTCTCTCTACCAATGCAAGGTGGCATCTTCTTTTCTATTTATGCTCTTAGAGAACTTAGAGGTTGTATGACTTGTCCAGGGTCACATAGCCAGTGACAGGGGAGGGATCTGAACCCAGGCCTTCCTGGCTATAAAAATGTCAGCTATTATTATTATTAAGAACTAGACATCAGTCTATATAGCCTTGTGCTATAGCAGTGCAATGGAAAGAGAGCTGACTTTAAACTCAAAGGACCTGTGTTCAAATTCCAGCTCTGCTACTTACTGGCTTTGTGAACTTGACAAATTATTTAACTTCCCTGGGCCTGAGATTCCTGAGCTATAAGATTAGGGGGACTGGACTAGCTGGCCTAGAAGGTCCTGTGAATCTATGACTAAAGTCACTTTCTTCTCCTAAATGTTGTTATTGTCTCATTTTTTCTTATCCATTTCCCCCTGCTATCCTTCTATTCTTATTCACAAACTTCATCAATCATATATTATTTTTTTTGACTGACTGGCATGCTTCTCCCCAAGAATTAATGATTTTTCTAGAGCTCCTTAGTACCAGGGCTAGATAGAGGAGCTCAGGTTTACAGCACAGGTTAGCCCTGCTAACTCACACCCATGAATGTTAATGATGCCTTTTCCCCCTCCTCCTCTTCCTCTTCATCTTCTCCTCCTTTCCTCCTCCTCTTTCTTCTTCTTCTTCTTCTTCTTCTTCTTCTTCTTCTTCTTCTTCTCCTCCTCCTCCTCCTCCTCCTCCTCCTTTTTCTCCTCCTTCTCTTCTTCCTCCTCCTCCTCCTCCTCCCCTCCTCTTCTTCCTCCTCCTCCTCATCCTTCTTCTTCTTCTCCTTGTCCTCCTCCTTCTCCTCCTTTCTCTTCTTCCTCCTTCTTCTTTCTCCTCTTCATTCTTCCCCCTCTTTCTTGTCTTTCTTCTCCTTCTTCTCTTCCTTCTGCTCTTTCTCCTTCTCCTCCTCTTCCTCCTCCTTTTGCCCAAACTAACTTTCCCTCACCTATAGATGGGAGCAAGAGTGCACCTTCATGTTCTCCACAGAAAAGCAGAGTCAGGTGGGGAAAACCAGAAAAGATGGGAGAGAGAGTGGTTCTGTGAGGAAGTTGTACAGTTGGAGAGGCATAGAGACTAGGGTCAAGTGTTCCCAACCATACTTTATTTCTTAACTTTTTTTTTGTGAGGCAATTGGGGTTAAGTGACTTGCCCAGGGTCACACAGCTAGTGAGTGTGTCAACTGTCTGAGGCCAGATTTGAACTCAGGTCCTCCTGACTCCAGGGCTGGTTCTCTATTCACTGCGCCATCTAGCTGCCCCTCCAACCATACTTTAACCAGCAGCTTTGGTGATTGGGGTCTAGGGCAAATGAAGGGAAGATAGAGGAGAGATTTCAGGGGGAGACCTCAAACATCTGGACGCAAGACTCCATGGATAAATCCCAGGATGCTTAGGCAAGGAAGAGGAAGCTCACCATTCAGTGGCTTCCTATTTTAATTATTCTTGAAGGTACTAAATTCAGTTGTTTCTAAAAAAGACTACTATTGCTGTCTATACCCCATATGTTTCATGTCTGTTTTTGTTTGTTTGTTTTTTGCTAGGTGGAGTTAAGTGACTTGCCCAGAGTCACACAGCTACTAAGTGTCAAGTGTCTGAGGCTGAATTTGAACTCAGGTCTTCCTGACCAGTGTTCTATCTACTACACCACCTAGCTGTCCCTATATTTCCATGTCTGGAGCAAAGCTCAGACCCACCCTAATTATGACTGGCCCCACTGGCCTGGAAGCTCAGTTTCCTTATCTATAAAAGGAGGGGGTTGGGATCACTTGGCCTCTGAGGTTTTGTCCCAGCTCTACATCTCTGATTCTTTGATCTGCTGAAATCGTGTGACCTTGGGCAAGTAATTAACCTCCCTGGGCCTCAGTTTCCTCATCTGTAAAGTGAAGAGGCTAGGCTAGATGGTCTCTAAGATTCCTTCCAGCTATTCCTTTATCATCCTATATCCATCTCAGCTCCTAAGATCTGAATGACAAAGTATCAGTCTACACACACCTAACATCAAGTGAAGACAAATTCTATTAAGACAACCTAGAGGGACTTCTGCTTCTGAAAGCCAAGATGGTGGAATAAGAAGAAAGTGGCTCTCACTCTCCCTCATTGAACTCTGAAAGCCCAGAAAATATCGACCCAGGAAAAACCCTGAGCCAGCAAAAAGATGGCACAGTAATCTTGAGCCCCAGGAAGCTTGGGGAATTAACAGGAAAGGCCCCTCTCTTTCTGGGGGAGAGGGAGC